TTTCACTTTTTTGTTACCAAATATTTATGTCTGGATTTGTGAAGTTTCACCACAAAAATTGAAAATTATGATTATTTTCATTAAAAAAGGTTTTTATTGCATTGAAATACCAAGCAATTGAAACAAATTGTAGAAAAACAAACACAGAACTTCTTCAAGAACTATTACACTTTTAGTGCAGAATGGCAGAAAGCATCAAGTGTCCAAATAGTCTAAGATCCGAACCTAAATCGACCTTCACCGAGCTGATAATAGAACGAAATATATTTTATCATGAATTTAGTATATTAGAAAACATATTAAAAAAAAAGTGTTTAAAAGTGTTTTTAACCGCCAGCTTAGTTGCAAAGCAACCCTCGAAAGTCAGAGACTTGTGTGAGTTAAGAAGACGAAAAATGGGTTGGCTAAAAAAATCCTGGGCAGACTATTTTTAATTATTTTTCGAAAAATTATTTTTAATTAAATGTATAAAACGTATAGAATGTGCAGCCGTTGGGTTGTCTACTATTTACCTGGGCAAACTACTGGGTTGTCAGGTAAACACAGGTATATCGATGCCAGTTACTTTCACTGGATTGGATAATTTAAAAAAAATTATATCATCATAAGCGCTGTTTAATTGCGAATACGTTGATATAGGGTTGTCTGCGAAAATTCCGGTCCTATTAGGGGTTTGCGAATTTTGAAGATTTTAATTTCAACGCGCGTGGAAGTGTGTGACAGAGAGATCCGAGGTAAGTATACTGTGTAATAATAAAGGACCCAACGTCGCAGTCGCTTGTGATGGGACCCTGAATAGTATGAAGTGTGCGAAGTGTGCGAAGTCAAATCCTGAAAACTATGATTGGCATTTTGATGATTTCTTAAAACCAACAGGTTTTATCGGAGATCAAACTCCTTTGAAAATCCAGGACATTGTCGAAATGGAAGCAAATGAGGAAGAATCTAATGAATCAGACGAATTCGAGAGTCAAAATGATACTTCTGATGAATCAGATATTGAATAGAAAATATTTATTAGAATTTATTTTTCATTAATATTATTTTTGTATTTCTTATACTGTTTTTTAATAAAATTTTAAATCGTAATACAAGATGTCTAGTCTATCTTTTTTGTTATTTCTTAATTTAAATTTTTGGCGGTCCACTTTGTTTCTATTTCCAGAAAGAGCAAAAAAATTTCAAAGTAAGTATTTGATATTTTTATTGTCTATTATAGATTATAGATATATCATTATGGTTATAACGCAATATATTGATATAATATTATTTTTATATATTAGTATTATATTAAATATATTTAATTATTATGTAATTAATTAATTATTTCTTTTGCTACTGAAATATCAGTTGCTCCAAAATAACACGCACTGTTTACTATATGAAGGGTAGTAGAGGTACCTCTACCCTCCATAGTTTACACACCGAGCATGCGCACTTTCTACTATTCAGGGTCCCATCACAAGCGACTGCGATGTTGGGTCCTTTATTATTACACAGTATACTTACCTCGGATCTCTCTGTCACACACTTCCACGCGCGTTGAAATTAAAATCTTTAAAATTCGCAAACCCCTAATAGGACCGGAATTTTCGCAGACAACCCTATATCAACGTGTTCGCAATTAAACAGCGCTTATGATAATATAAATTTTTTTTAATTATCCAATCCAGTGAAAGTAACTGGCATCGATATACCTGTGTTTACCTGACAACCCAGTAGTTCGCCCAGGTAAATAGTAAACAACCCAACGGCTGCACATTCTATACGTTTTATACTTTCAGTCAGGACACAATTTTTTTATTATCCTGATGTTGCAACATTTAATTAAAAATAATTTTTCGAAAAATAATTAAAAATAGTCTGCCCAGGATTTTTTTAGCCAACCCATTTTTAATATGTTTTCTAATATACTAAATTCATGATAAAATATATTTCGTTCTATTATCAGCTCGGTGAAGGTCGATTTAGGTTCGGATCTTCTACTAAAACATGCATTTATATTCAAGTATAGCAATAAGGTATTGACACATCAATTTCATCTCATCAGATAAGAATTTTGCTACCCTCATGGATTTTTTTGTGGTTGAAATAGTTAAATAAATTTAAAATTCGAGTTAATGGGTGATAAAAATGAAATTCTTTAAAATTGACACACCCTATCCATGAGGAAAATCCTAGGGTAAGTGGAAACCTAGATGTTTGACTTGACTCAGTCAAATCAACAGTGAGCAAAGCTGTACTGCCAATGAAAACAGTATAATGCAAAATGCTTCTCAAGCTTTATTAATTTGTTAAAAGAATTTAATGTTCATCAACAATATAAATGTTGAATTAGTTTCAATAACTAAATAATTCATTATATCCACTCATATTACAGTTTTTGTTTACATCATTTTACAATATTGTCAAAGAAATAGATACATCTACATGTCTAATTGAAGACTAGTTTTCTAGAGTTTTCTTTTTCTCTCAAAATAAAGAAAGCATTTCAAAATATAAAAATAAGTTTTTAATTTGAAAAAGTAGATAATAAATACAAAATACAACAAAAACACTTAAGCTTGTTCATATCATGAACAATTAATTATACCAGATATGGTATATCAAAGACATATATTCAAATTCCAAATATATATGATTATTTTTGCAAATGGAAATTTGCTGATCTAAGTCACCATTATTCTCCCAAGGTCTACAAAGCCCTACCATTCATCAACATTGAATCTTAAATTATAAAAATGAATGTAATTCTGGAAAGCTGCTGAAGATGTCATTTTTTATATGGAAATAATGCCTGAACTTTTTAATGATCCATAAAAAATGGTGTACTGACTATAGAGTTATGGTAATAATATATCAACATTCTATATAAACAATAGCAAGCCTTTGTACTGCTATTGTACATATTTCTGTATACAGGGTGATTCATCAATATTGAACAAAACTTCCATGTATTTTTTCGGTCAAAATAAGAAAAAAGTTCATGTAAACATATGTCCCAAAACAATTCGTTTCCGAGATACAGGGTGCTCGAGTTTTTTTTTAACAATTTTTCGTTAATTTCCAAATTGACATTGGTAGGTACATTAGTTCTTGTTTCACCATGGTTACTTGAAAGATTTGTCAACTGGCAACTAGATTTTGATTATTACAGTTTTTCTCTCATCAGGTTCACATGCATATGTTTGGTTTTTGTTTGTAATCCTAAAACCCAGAACTAAAGAGCCAAAAAAGATGTATTTTGAGTTGTTCCAATCAAAATAATTGCAGATTTGAAAAAAACCTAGTGGGTGATATTTTTTGTGCAAAAACCTATTGTACTTGCCTGGTGCACATGCCCCTGATAATACTTCATCAACTGTATTAGGTCCAAAAATTACCTCATTGTAATTTCAACAGACATTGTGAATTTTATCAATATTGGTTAGGGCATATTTTAGAAATTAATAAAAAATTGATTTTTTTAAAGAACTTGAGCACCCTGTATCTCGAAAATGAATCTTTTCTGAACATTATGTTTACATGATTTTTTTCCGATTTTGGCCCAAAAAATATTACCTTGAGTATTTTGCAGTATAAATTAAATACCACTGATTCATCATAGTTGTTGATTGTATTCTTTCTCATTTTAGCATCTAGGACAAACATTATCACCAAATAAATTTTTGATATTTACTTTTTGTTAACTAGATATGAGTACTCCATGCACAATTTCTATAGGAAAATTACACTTTCTAATTCATTTATTTAAATCTATCACCTATTTTACCAACAATGCTGTGGATCAAGATCAGAGCTTGAAGTTTTCATGCTTATGAATTTTCTGAAATTCAGATGGAATCTGCCAAAAATTCCACATAAATTTATTTTTCTGCAGAAACCCTAAATTATTCCTGCTGAGGTTGAATTATTTTCAATTTTTATTTCCATTTCCCTCTATCTTGGAATATTGACTAGGATTACTACAGACATAGATTAACGACTCCCTTAGATATACACTGTGAATGGAGATTTGGTCAACACTGAAATTAGTGAAACAGAACATACACAGATGTCTCCAGTATCCTTGGTGCGAATAATTCATCCGAGGTCCAGACAGTCTGTGGTCTATTTATAGCGCCGTACACGCTCGAAACCGGTTATACGTTACAGCGTTGCCAGAATGTGGCATTCACTCCTATTACCATTCTTGGATAAAAAATCAGATCAGAATAAAAATAATTATTCTGCATCTTCTCTATGAAAATGAATGTTTGTCTGTCTATCTGTCTGTATGTCCTCGATAAAATCGTAAACTGCTCCACTGATTTGGATATTTTTTTTGTTTATTTCGTTATAGTTCAGGGATGGTTTAGGTAGAAAAAAAATTTAAAAAATCAAATATGGCGGAACCAATATGGCAGACGAGTTTTGTAATTATGGACCGATTCTATTCGAAATTGGTATTTGGTGGTTTTTGGGGTTGGAGATTAGTCGTTAATCTATGCTACAGATTTCATAATATTAAATTAGAATACTTATAAGCATAAAAACTTTGCTGAACAGCTTCCCTTCCTATTTGAACTCAACAGTACACTGCACACTGCCAATGTTTTTTTATTGTTGAGTGACTAGACCATAGAAACACTAATATACTAGTGATGTTTTTGAACAAATATGAACATCATATCTAGGCTTTTCTCTTGGAAAATTTGTTATTGTATTTATAAAGATATAGGTACTAAATGTTCAAATGTTCTTATGATTTTAGTGTAATTAATTCTTATAAGTGAAGAATTGTCATTGATGATATGTGTGTTGTAATTCTCCATTGTATAACTTTACTTGAATTAAGAAACCATTGAAAAAATTTTGGTTTCATGTCATATATTATTACCTTATCAATCGAATTAATATTCTGAATTTCTGAATCACTGGTATATGAGTATTTCTTGAAAAGATTTTTACAATGAGAAATTATGAGAAATAATATTCATCATGAGAATTTGAGCCATAATTTATGCCTCTGATTCACCAGATGTGTTTTCTTCCTCTAAAATAGGTACAATAAGATTGTCTTTGGACATTAGATTGTATTTTGTTACAAACTGTGTAAATCTTTTACATAAACATGTCTCCATTTCAAACTCGTCAAAAATGGACCTATGATGGAAGTAGGCATGAGAGAAAATTCTATATACACGTCTACATACTGAACCTAATTTGGCTACTGATGATTCCTTGATGCTGACCCTGAAATAATTTTGTAGATATTACATTTGATAAGCATGAATCAAAGGAAAATTTCAGATTATAGAGAACAAGTGCAAAAACATTGATGACCTTCCTTAATCAACTGTATGTATATTTCAACCAATTATATATAAGTAGATATGTAATAGAAGTCCCTGGTAAAGTGGAGTAGTAGTAGAAAAACTCCTAGTCATCTCCACAATCTTCAATGATAATCTTAAACAATAGGCGAGAACACGAATTTCTGGAAAAAATACCATGGCCTTTAGTATGACGATAAAAGTCTCAGGAATTTTTTTCAGATTTTTATTCGAAGTAGTTTTTCCACAAAAAATTTGCAAAGTATTGATCCCGTTCAAACGAGCTGGAATATCGCGCGTTAATGTGACGTGACAAGTATTAGACGGTGATCCGGCAACGTCGCTTGATATCTTCTGGACTTTTGACTGTGTGGACAGTTGACAATTCGTTCATCTGTCACTACTGTCAGTTATTTTATTTTATTGTTTATTTATTTTTGTCGGCCAATATTATTTTTATTCGTGCCATCGAATTATTTATTTTTTCTCATCAACGTTTATTCACATTCCTGGGATGGCAGTGGCTGTAAGGAAATGCCACAAACTTGGTTCCATCCTGCTTAATCAACACTGAACAAAGTATATGGATAAACCATAATACCTGGAATCAAATGATATATTTTGCTGTGAGGATCGTTTTGATGTGAGTAGAATTTTTTCTTCAATATGGATTGATCATACTCATTTTGTTCTAGCTTGAATATGACATGTTGAACTGGGTGGAATTAAAACTCATTGGATCTAGAGTTTATATGCCTGAAGATGTGATTCCATATTCATTAAACGTCCAAATAAACTGAGAAAAGACCCATCAAAATCCTAGCTTTCATCTTCAGCACGGAAAAGGAGATCTCAATAATCCCTTGAGAATTTGGGAGATGAGATAAAATGGAACTTTCCTCAAATCATATTGACTCTCCTTGAGGAAAATTCTTGGAAGTACCAGTGAGTGTTTCAGTTGAAGAAAGTTTTCTTGAAGAACCTGAAAAGTAACCTGTCATGGAAGAGACTGACATCAAATACTATGAACCAGAACCAAATTGACAGTCCCATAACATATTGTGATAAAATGACTCAGGACTGTTGCTGATTGATATACAAATATGTTTGTGATTTTTACCATCATGATTAAGTTTATTTGTTTTCTTGAAAACTTTGTGATGATCTGGACAAGATATTGATATAATATTTCCATGTTCTACATCTATATTCATTCTAGAAATGAAATATATCTATTAATATTTAACTGTTCTAATTATATCTACTGCATAAAGTGGACAATAAATGAAAATTTCAACCAACATTCTTGAGCATTCTTGCTTCATTTTGATAATTTTTGTGTACTACCTATTCCGAGACCTATTCCTTTACATTTTTGACAAATTTTCTCTACATGAAATAGTGGCAATACCTATCTAGTAATTTTGGCTTGTATGATTTTGTTTTTTGCATTGAGAATTGATGTTGCATCTACCATCATTTCTAGATATGCCAGTGCTCTCTTGGTTTATACTTACTGGATTTTTTTCTTACTACATTCATTACTTTTTTGGTGTTATGATAGGTATTCATCTTTCTTACCAATATTCCACTGACAATAAAATATGAATGAACTAGGTTGTTCGACAAGAAGTAAACATGAATTTCATATACCTACCATCTCCAGTTTGTGAAGATATAGTGTATGATCAATATGAGAAGGGATTTCAAAGTTGTGTATGATGAAATATGTTATTTATAAGACACTGGTGAGCTCTAAATAAGTCCAATTTTGAAATAAGAGAAGAAAAAAACTACTGTAGTACTGTTATTTTATAATTTTATTAAATGGGTGGAATTAACAGTTTGCCACAAATTTTCAGCATCTTTTATAATTTTCTAAAGGAATATAGGGTCATATCACACTTCAAGTAACTGAAAACTACCATTATTCTCAAAATTCTCCTGCTCATATAATGTACCTTCGAATGTCTTGCACTTTGTGCACTTTGAAGCAGTAATTCTTCCATAGCAAACTTCAAACCATGCTGATAATGATGATTCGTTTTGATTCACTTTTATATCTTGCACCAATTCACAATCACTGTCACTGATATTCTGATGAACGAAGTCTTGGAATCCCCTAGGAGACAAATTGGATGAATGTTTTCTGGACAAAATAATTAGCTTATGAATCAGAATCAAACTCTTTCAAAAACATCCTTGGCTTCCATGTTTTCCATCTACTTGAAAAACTACTTCAAGAAATTTTGATGGAACCACTGGGAGGGTAGGAACTTGTTTTGGTGCTAATTCTACAAGTGGCATGAATGTTGATAGGAAGCTCAAAAATTTGGTAGTTTGGACACTGAGTTGGACACTTTTCAGTAACACTCCATAGAAGGTACAGAGGGTTCTTCTGATCTTCCATGTAACCATAATAAGAAAGCCACACTGTGTTTACATCTACCTAAGAATATAAAAGAATATAGTTTATAAAAAAGTCAAGAATTTATGTACCTTTTACCTTTTGAAACTGCACAATCCAGACTACAGTTTCTTCAGCTTCATGAACCTCAGCCTCAACCCTTTATGGTTTAGGACGAACTTTATGTTCTGGACTAATCTTCACCTTTATGAAACAGCTCATGCCAGTTTTTTTTAACTTGCAGAATTCAAAAACCCTGGTTGAATCAACTACTGGAAGATTGTGATTGCTTTTTCGAATACTGGCTTCATATCTCCAATCAATAAACATGAACCATCAGACTATGTCACAATAATAGTCACAATGATTTGAATATTTTGATTACACAAGAAAATATTAAGCAAATGAAAAATCCAAGAAAAACTCTGATGTTTTGGAGTTCGGTTTCTTAGGTTAGGAAATATGTAGAATATTTTGAAGGTACAGTACAGCGTTGCCAAATGCACGCCAATACTTGTTACGTCATCACGTATCCGCCATTATTGGTTTTTTGAATGGTCCACAAATTTGTATGGTTTTGCAAACGCGTTCTTTGGATAATGACAGCATTTATTGTTGGAAAAACTACTGGTACACATTATTTCAATGTTATATTTATTTATTATGCACATTTGAACTGAATTCGTGCTATTGTGTTCTCGCCTATTTAAGGCCATGTTTTGAACCTATGTAGGTTCATCTTCAGCTAATGCAGATGGCTGGGATTTTTTCTACCCATACTGCCTGTTATAAAAAATAGTCACCAAAATTGAAACCTCAGGACTTACCTGCTGGGAAAATATTTATTGCTGTTTAGAAGGCAAGCAGCCCCATCCAGAGTGTGTCTGGTGTAGTCAATAGCAGGACATTCTTTTGGAGTTTTGTGTGCAGCACAAAGGAAAATCCATTGCTCAGTAGCTGTCATTTGTGTGCATGTTTCAGGATGACATTCTCCTTGCAACCTGACTGCAAGTCCATTTAGTTCCATACAAAACTGTCTGTTGAAGAAAACTATTTTAGTAAACAGGTTAGGCAGAATTTTGGTTCATGACTAATAGAAATTGAAGCAATGTTTACAAAAAACGAAAATTGTGATCATTTGTCCTCAATATAATATCATACCTTAAATGTTCATATTTCCAAACACCCTCATCTTGGGAATCAGGCATTTTCAATATCAAGTCAATATTATTGGGATCTTTACGAATGAGCTGTTGGATATACTGTTGAACAGCAAGTGTGCTATCCATTTCTTCGAAAGGTTCATCTGGCCAACGACTGAAGTCCTGTAATGATACAATCGAGGATACAATGATACACAGCTTAAGCCCTATATGAAAGATGGACAATTTTATGGAAGGCGCCTAATGAGAAAATACTTGTCAATATTTTATAGATAGAAGTGTGAATCCAAATATTCATGAAAATACATAATCTCAACTTACTTTAGCTTTAACACCAGGTCTATTTCTTCGCAAAATTGTAGAACCGTCGGCCATCTTCATTTTTGACATTTATTAAAAAACGAAACATGAAAATTGACAATTGACAACAACGAGCGATACGAATGAATTCCGAAAATAGTGAGCTTGTTCCGATATTCCCGAACAGTACTGCCCAGTATATTTAAACGTTCCGATTTTGCTGAAATTTACTAGCAACGTTAAAAGATTCTGTGCAGGTTGAGCGTTTGCATGGTTAGGTATGTCGATGAAAATTATATATTATATTGAAATACTTTGAGAAAATGTATGAAGTCGCACTGGGAGATCTTACAGTGGCCAGTGGACACTGAAACTGTCACTATAATATAATCCACAAGATGGTTTGTTATTCCCACTTTTGATGTCAAATATTTCACAGCTATGCTTCATTTCTTCTTCATAATTGGAACTAGAAGTACTATGGCTATATTATTTCGAATTCAAATGATCAGTTCTGTCAGTGGCTATATTCCGAATTCAACTGACAGTACTGAATCTGCTGAATTTTCATTCCGAAATCAAAAAAATTGACTGAAAGTGACAGATACTCGTGAGCAGATATACTATTCTTTCCAAATATTTCGACCCAACATTCTGCTGAAATTGCTGACTATCAAAAGGTAGTGTGGCTTCAGTGAACTGTCATTATTTTTGAGGTGAAAGGAATGACACATTCATTTCCGTTGTTTTCCAAACATTGAGTCTTGGCTCATCAAAAAATACATTAATAATATCATTTTGATATCAGAAAATGCCTGTTATTTATTTAGCTCAAGCAGGAGCATCTGCCAGATCAATGACAACTGACAAATTTCACCAGCTGATCAACTGCTGCTGATCACTGATGAAAACGTGTTCCGAATTACAGCACTGTATTTATGATTTTATATTTCGGAACACAACTTTTCACCAGAGTCAGTGGATCTACTGACAGTACTGACTGGTCAGCTAGTGAACTTTGTCGCAATTTTTTTCAAAAGAGAATAGGAAAATATCGTATTCAGTAAATAATATCCTTATTCAATCGTAAAATGTTTTTATTTTCTTGAATTTCACAATCATTAACATTCAGAAGTCATTTTACAGTGTCAATATTTTCTTTTTTCAACAATATTCAGAGAGTATTGGGAACGAATAATAAATATCATTACTAGATTACTATAGCTGACTTGGCAAACGTTGTTTTTGCGCTATGCACAATATTTCTAGAAAATATTCTTTCAGTTAAATATTTACCAGCACAAGTTATTTATTTCATTTTCTACTTATTCGTTTCAGTTCGGCTATTCATAAAAGCGTGTTTCTTTAGTTTCTCAAGATACTATATTCATTTTATACTCGTTTTCAGCTCGGCAATCTATCTCTTCAGTTTTTTAAACTACTATTTATGTTCTACTTCTCCTCAATTCGACTAAGTATCTACGAACGCGTGTTTAATTGATTTTTCAAACAACTATTTATTAAAAAGCTCGTTCGCCGATATTGGATCCGCCATCTTGAATATCCCAATTTTGACAAAAAATCATGAAGTTCGACCCCGAAAACCCCCAGATACCAAACTTTAATAGAATTATAGATCATAATTAGAAATGTCTTCGCCATCATATTCGATCCGTCATCCTGAATTAGAATTTTACAATTTTCACGAAACAATCATTATCTCCTACCCCGAAAACCCCCAGATACCAATTTTGAATAGAATCGGACCATAATTACAAAACTCGATCCTCATAATATGATTTTCCTCAACAAGTAATAAATACCCTGTACATAATTAAAATTTTGAATGATTTTCTGTAGCGCCCATGGACGTGACGTGACAGCAATGTCAGGGATGCCAGTAGACAATCGTGGACAAAACTAAAGTCTCTAGATCAATGACGGCTAAATATGTAGAAGTCATGCGTCATTTAGTGCGTCATGTCCCATGTTCCCATGTGCTCTTTATACGTCTAACCTAACTTTTCTGAAGTCAAAATATTTATTCATGAAAGTATTTATTTTTAAAGTATAAGAGCGGGTTTATACAGGAAATAAGATAAGATAAGAATTAGAATAAAATAAAATAAGGAATAAGGATATTGGTGTACCGTTTATACAGATAAATAAAATAAAATAAAAATAAACCAATCATTGCACATTATTTTGGCAATGACTTATGCACTTATGTCAATCGTCAATGTCAACTTCAGTTGGGAGTTAGAATTTGTTTTTTTTGTGCAGACCGGAGAACGGCGAAGATCTTATCCACCATCAAACATTTTTATTAACGTGTTTTGAATGCTTCAATTTGAAATACAATATACAACCATCAGCGTACAAAACAAAACAAAGAATTTGAGGTTATATGACAAGTGTCGTTTTTAAATGGGCGTGTCCGATTGAAATTGCACATGCGCACATCGATTTTCGAATAAAATAAAATAAAAAGTTAAAAGTTGGTCAACTCTTATTTTATTCCTTATTTCTTATTTTATCTTAGTTCATGTATAAACGTTTCCATTATAATACGTATGTTGAACTTTCTTATCTTATTCCTTATTTTATCTTATTCGCTGTATAAACCCACTCTAAAACTTTCTCAGTGAGTTTCAGTTTCAAGTATGGTTCGCAAACATAACAATCAGTTACCAACAAATCTCCCGCAGCTTCAAAATCTGATAAAAAGGGATCCAGCTTCCTACCATGAAGAATTCATGCAACAGTTGAAACATTTTGAAAACACATTGGAAGTTTTCAATCTTGACCCGAAACAACCCCATAAGACTCTAGATGATATGGTTATGTTCATGGCTCAAGTAGCTCAATGTTATCCAAAGGAATTGGAGAACTTTCCTCAGCAATTAATCACCCTTCTTCAGAAGCATAACACAGTTTTGGAGAACAATATGAGAATGACATTTTGTAGAGCCCTAATTCTACTAAGGAATAAAAATCTTCTTTCTCCCACTGATCTGTTAGAGCTGTTTTTTCAACTTTTGAGGTGTCAAGATAAGGCATTGAGGTCATTTTTAGAAAACCACATTATTACAGATATAAAAAATTTGAACTCTAAGCATAAAAATGCCAAGCTGAATACAACACTTCAGAACTTTATGTTCACAATGTTGAAAGATTCGAACTCCAAAGCAGCAAAAATGTCTGTGGATATAATGATTGAATTATACAAGAAAAATGTTTGGAATGATGCCAAAACAGTTAATGTTATTTCAACAGGATGTTTTTCAAAAGTAACTAAGGTAAATATGTTTAAATTAATTTTGCCCCTCCACAAAATATAGGTACTGAACTCAGTACTCCATAAATATGGAGTGTATAGTGTATATATACTTAATTTAATAATCTCATTAAAGCAATTATTCATTGTATAAGTAATTTGCCATAGTTCCTGGTACAGCTTTGGCCTTGATTTAGGCTCATATTTTGATAAACCTGATTAATTAGTATCCTTACTATCACAAGTGGTCCAAGGTCTTTACTTTTCCCTTGCTTTTTCCATCATTATGAAATTTTTAGATCTTCAGTAGATGGGAGGAAACCTGGGAGAAAACAATCTTGAGATATTTTGCACAACCAAAAACTAGGTAAAAATATTCATTCACAAAAATTAATTTTCATTTTTTCTTCTTCAAATTTCAGTTGGTAAGTAAGTGATTTAGTGGATTTAGAGTTTTTCACAAATATCCAGTGATGCCCTATTCATTTTTAAAAGTATCACTTTTGTATTTCCTCAGATATGAAATGATAAAAGTTATGTTAATTTTTGTTGGGATATTTTAAGAAAATTCCCTGTATTTTGCTATCCTCCAGGCTATTCTGTATCACCTCTCAAAATAAATGTAGGAAAACCTGGACCACCTGTATGTATAAATGGATCTACTAAGTAGTCTATTTAACTATTTTCTCTAGGTTATGGTTGCATCATTGAAATTCTTCTTGGGTAAGGATCCAAATGAAAAAGACTCAGATGATTCTGATTCTGATGATGAAGTCAATCCAAAAGAAGTTGCAATGGCAAATAAAGTGAATAAGAAGACACGGAAAAGAGAAAAACAGTTGGACAAAGTTAAGAAATTGGCTTCAAAGGCTTATAAGAAAAAGTCTGCTGCCCCAACCTTCAACTTTTCTGCCATACATTTGATACATGATCCTCAAGGTTTGGAATCCTCATCTACCTACTAATTATTGTGATTATATTATCACATTATGTCAAAATCAAGATCAAAATCTATCATTCTAGTAATTTCAAACAATAGAAATTCAAGATTCTGGCCAGTCATTCATTATACTGGTTAAACAGAACTGTTCCTCATTGAACTTTACATAGTGAGCAGTTGAAATTAATTTCCTTGTGTAACACATCTTTATGTGTAACAATCAATCATCAATGTAAATACATTTTTTAATTGTCATTCAACATAATGTCCCTAAAAAATGTTTGATGATTCCCTATAGAAAATAAGCAAGCATACGCCACCTATCGGAGTTCTTGGAAGCTGTCAAAGCGGCATGTTTACTTTGTTTTCATTGGATCACAATTGTTTTTTGTTTGTGCCCATTGGTCATATCATCAAAACAAACCACTCAGAAGTGTCCAAGTTGCTGCCGTCAGGGGGGGGGGGGGTAGTGATATTTTCTATCCTGAATTGTCTGGATGATTGTATGTACCACAAAACTAAAATCTCCTGTAAGTCACCTGTCCCTGCAAATGTATGCAACATACATATCACCAATTTGATTGATGATTTTTTTTTCTTGTTTCTTTAACGTCGGCCATTTTTCTGCTACTGAGGCTAATCACCGACGGCGGTGAGCACACACTACCCCCAACCGGAAATTTTGCCAAATCCTCTGGAGTTCCAACCAGAGGTAGGGTAGGGATCTCAAGTTCAACATCCATGGCCTCGGGATCTCCGTCTTAACGTCCTCTCCGAAGGACGGCATATCCCTACCATTTCTTGTGCTCTTTGATATGGTAGCTGTAGGTGTAGCTATGAAATGCTATTTCACTACAAGTACAGATGCGCGGGCTCACACGGCGTTTACTTGAATGGTCACCCATCCAAGTGCTCCACACTGCTTACTTGAGAAGCTAGGCTATTACCTTCACCATTTTGATTGATGATAAACTTGTTCTCCAAATTTGATCAGATGTTCTTCTATTTTCTTCACTGAAACTATTTTAGTTGAGGTAAAAGCATTGAAACAAACCAAATTAGTTATAATCACCATAGGATTTTATAGACTTGTTCTATTACATTTGATGATACAGGGTGATAACTTAATATATTTTTATGATGATTCAGATCATATTCATGGATATTTTCAGATGCTGATCAATATTTTCCGTATTTTAGGTCTTGCAGAAAAATTATTCAAACAACTGGAAACAACAAACAAACGTTTTGAAGTAAAACTAATGACATTAGACGTCATATCTCGGTTGATAGGACTCCATGATCTATTCCTCTTCAACTTCTATTCCTACATTCAACGTTTCATGCAACCGCACCAACGTGAAGTCACAAGAATTCTACAATTCGCAGCCCAAGCCAGCCATGAACTTGTTCCACCCGACGTTATCGAGCCTGTTTTGAAGACCTTGGCAAACAACTTCATCACCGAACGTAACTCTTCAGATGTAATAGCTATCGGCTTGAATGCTGTCAAAGAAATCTGTGCTAGATGCCCTCTAGCAATGGAGGATGACTTGTTGCAAGACCTTGCATTATACAAAAACTACAAAGATCGATCTGTTATGATGGCGTCCAGATCACTGATACAGTTGTTCCGAACGACAAGGCCTGAGCTGTTGCACAAAAAAGATAGAGGCAGACCCACAGAGGCTTCTGAGGAACTAGAATCCATAAATTATGGAAAACTGAATGCCAAAGATTATGTGCCAGGAGCAGAGGTTTTATTGGAGGAAAAATATAATGGAGACATTGAGATAAACTCTGATTCTGGATCGGATGACGACCAATGGGTTGATGTTCAACATTCAGATGATGATATAGGAGAGGATTTGAGTGAAGATGATGAAGATCTAGAAGAGGAAGCCGAAAGTGACAAAGAGGAGAATGATGACCAGAAAGACAAAGATAATGAGGAAACCGGAGAAACCGAGAATGTATCAGAAGAAAAGAAAGACGAGCCCAAGAAACCTGTGTTGAAAGGAAAGCGTAAATTGGAGAATCTGAAACAAAAGAAAGAAAACGCACAGAAAATAAGTCTGGAGAGGCTGTTGACTGATGAAGATTTCAAACGTATAGACATGGCAAATGTCAGAAAGCAAGTCTTTAGTACCAAAAAGGGACTAAAAAGGAAAATTGAAGAAACCCCAGTGGAAGCACCTTCTGAACTAGTGAAATTGAGTGATATAGAGAATATCTATAAGAAGAGGAAGCATGATAAACAAACAAGAATGGAAAGTGTTAAAAAAGGTCAAACAGACAGAGAAAAGTTCGGCTACAAAGATGGAAGGGTGAATGAACATTGTTCAAAAACCAATAGAGAAAAGAGTAAGAAGAAGAACTTTCAAATGATCAGGCATAAGGTGAGGGTTAAGGTAAAGAGGAGTTTTAAAGATAAGCAAATAGCTTTAAGGAACCATTTGTTGAAGTTGAAGAAAATGAAATGAATATATATTGGGGGCGTTGACAATAATGTAGTTTTTACTAAACCTAAAATTTAAATGATTGTGGAGTATGCTACTGAGTATATTCAAACATATCATGAGTAATATTCCTAGTATCCTAATGTAATTAATACTGTCACCAACTTTAAGAATCAGAGAATGTGACTGGTAGCTACATTCAGAATTTATATCTGAAATTAATAACCAATTCAACCAATTGTCACTCATTTTTCTCAAGTTAGGACCTAGTTGACTCATGCATGAATTCAGGATAAGTTTACAACTGAATTGAAATTATGCTAGTGTTTATCTATATTCTGTGGGTACTTGATTCAGTGCTGAAAAAGTTTGATTAGTGCAATGAGTGGAAACTGTATTAGTTGAGCGTTGAGTGGTATAAAAAAAGTTTTTGAAAAATTTAGTAGAATCCAGTAAATGGTGCGCGTACTAGGCCATTTTTACATTTGAAAACTTAAGAAAAACCACTTGACCACCTACTATGATTTCTCTACGTCACATGGAGCGAAAGGTTGGATCTACCCTTTTCCGCTAGATGGTGATGCTGCTGTTGCTGCTCAAGGTTGGTAGAACTGATGATAATTTGTATAGTAATAATCACTTCTACCAACCTTGTTGCTGCTGTGCCGAGTGTGAAGAGGGAAAATGAAAGGGCCTATGCCATTTAAAGAACGCGGAACATATATGTAAGGGTGGGTTAATTTCACTCGAAATTCGAAAAATCAGCGGTAATTTGAAAATTGATAGATACAATTCAAGGTTGTAGAGCTGATGATTATTTGTAAAGGATTCTGCAAAGTCGCCATCTATTAGAAGATCGCCGAAACCATTGTTCTAGAGAGCAGAGCACATAGGCTCAAGATGTAATAGACCACAAACAGGATGATAATGGCCATAAAGTCAAAGCTATCTCATAACTCGACGACTTCACCGAGTAGTGAGTTCACCTTATCACTAGAGTCTAGAGTCACTGGATGGTATTAGTTAGATACCTTCACCTTCACCACTCACTTCCTCACTTGTGCTCACCTCACGATCACTAAATCACTCACTTCACTTCACTCATTCAATATTATGACATGAGAAGTGAGCCCGTGAGTCCTAAAAGTGAAATTAGTGAAATTCAAAGATAATTTTTTTTTTGCGTGAACGTAAAAAACGTGTTACAAAATTTTGTTATGACTTACGAGATGAGTTATTAGATTAGGGTTATTGTTATTAATTATGAGAAACCCGAGTGTACAGCATTGTACAGTAGCGTTTTGATATTTGGTTTTTCCCATAATCTAAAAGAAAATTCAAATTAATGTGATTTTCATCAGAGGTTTATATCCTCCTCAACATGAAGAAAATTGTAGTGAATAAGCAGTTGGTGCCAATGAAGGCTCATTATTTCCTTTGGAATGCTGGTAATTTTATTTTTTTGTTGAACAATATCCTTATCACATTCATTTGATTGATTTGCTTCATTTATGTAATAGGTATACTTACAAATATAATAAAGGCCAACGAATGGCTAGATTCCTCTTGATTTTTAGGCAACATTCATTCAGTAAAATAGTAGCAGGTGGCATGACTAGAAATTTTGGGAACATGCTTTCATCAGAGCTTTTAGCCATAATATTATTTTTTTGAATATGGATACCAAATATAATCTGATTAAGATATAAAAGTTCATCTACTGGGTTTAAACTCCATTTGAATCCAGGACGTTCCACATCCCCTATATCAAACCATCAAGTCCTATATGGATGTGTTTTGGATCACACAAATACTTTATTATTTTTCCCTTTTTTATGAGTTTGTGCACTTTAAATCACTTATATTGTTTTTCCACCACTAGCTCTATATTGAACCTACCATTATTTACTACTTTTCAAGACTTCAAGTTTGTTTTTACTACCAAGATAGGTAGTTTTTGTCATTTTATGAAATACTAGTCAATAAAGACAATAGTCAACTTTTTAGTTCTGAGTAGATTTGATGGAGCTCTAGATTTCTTGACTCAAATTTTGAATAGTTCCAGCAAATCGTAGATGTGAATGGAAAAAATTAATTTTGAGCACCAACTTCATGCTGTGCTTTTTTTTCTAGAGAAAATGAGTTCTGATATATTTTTTCATTGTATTATGGAGAGTTCTGGAGTCCTCAACCTATTTCATCAATATTTCTGAGGAACTAAAGTAAATTATTGAATAATTCAAGGAAATAAAATACTGTTCTGTTCTTGAAAATTAATTTTTTATTCAATATGTATTTGCAGATTTCTTTCAAAAACACAATAAAATTTTATAACTGATTTATTTTCAGATTTTATGTTTTCTAATTATTTAATTCCTTTTTCGTCAAAAGCTTTTTCGTCAATACATGTAAGAGAAGGGATTTGTCTCGGGATTAGTATTTCACCAAGAATTATTCAATCATTTTGCTTAGTTCAACAGAACTATTAATGAAATATGCCTAGAACTCTGGAATTCTTTATAATACAAAAATATATCAGAACTCATTTTCTAGAAATAAATGGCGCTGTGCCGCTGTGTGAAGTTAGACGATTCAGGGAGTAGGCCCTGGATGATTTGTTGAAACTATTCGAAATTTCATTCAGGAACACTGGAACTCCATCAAATCTACTTAGAATCCAAAAAAAAAATTTAAAAAAACGGCGCAAACTTCACATGAGTCGAATCTACCTAGTAGGTATTTACTATTTATCAATTGTCATAAGCTGCCATGGTCATGGCTACTAGATTTTAATCAGAACTAAAAATAAGTACTTTTATATACTCACTGAATCGAAGGTAGGCGTTTGCTCCCTCAATTGAGGAAACAAAGTTATCAATTTACTCCCTCGGGAGGACAAAAATATCGTGGGAGGTAAAATAAATTGGCTTCAGCACCCTTTGGCGTCGATTTATATAAAATCTTTGCAATCTAAGTAATCAGTTTCTTTATCACTATTATAAAACAAATAACAATAATATTATTATACTTTTTGAATTCCAATGATATCATATTATACTTCTTCATATTCTAATCGAACTTACTTCTTATCAAAATTTTCAAATGCAGTTACACAATACACAAATTAATTAATTCATGATGGCAGAAGTGTCACATTAGGTTTGTTCGCGTTCAAAAGTCTGAAACAATCAGGAGCATGCGCAATTTCACAGAACAGGACGAATTTTTGAAGTTCCGTGGAACTGCGCATGCTTCGGATGGTTTCGGACTGTTTATTTTTGAACGCGAACAAACCTATTGACTTAACGTTCAAATGCCGTTAACTGTCCATGCCATGCCCGTATCATGTCCATGCCCCATGGATCTCACCCCATGGCATATACTATACCTTTGTAAAGGGCGCCGTACATTAGGCTATTTCTCGGCAAGTTTGAGGCAATGCAATTTTATCGCAATTTTCTCAATTTATTGCATGTCGCCGTCATATTTTCTTGTTCATATTCACTATTTTCAGGTTTTTGAGCCTTCAATGTACTTTTTGAGGTTATTGTTATGAGTTTAGAAGCCCAAGAGATGACATTTAACTTATTACCTTCCTTCACATTTTCAGGGTTGATATAATTCATAATCATATATAGGGGTAGGCGAAAAAAAATCAATATACACCTTGGTAGTGAAGAATAATATATCACCACAGGAACTCATACCTACCCCTCGGATGGTAATACTGAATATTCTTGATGACCTTATATGGATGACCTTTGTGTATAAATAACTATTATCCAATATGGATCAGGAATAATGAATAATTTTAAAATATCTGATTTTTTTTCAACTTCCTGTAACCTATACTCTTGTCAGAGTTATTTTCTGTGTGTATGTTTATATTTAGATTTGAGCTATCTCATTATCCAAGCATCTTAAAAAAATCTTCATAGGTAGGTGTTGAGTATGTGTACTTGCCTTATGTGAAGGCGAAATTAAATGAGTGGATTGTATTTTCGGAATCTGTTTATTTCTTTTATTCGTCTGAGGTTCATTGCATATGATTGTGAGATGCATTATCTACAAAGATTACAAACAGACTGACCTTATGCCAGTAAAATCGCGCATAACTCTACATAAAAAACTCATTTACCGAATAATGGCGGCAAAACAAAACGGTTATTTTAAAATGAATACAGGGTGGCTAATGCGGCCGGGGCAGAGACAGTCATAAAAAAGATATAGGAAAATATACAGTAGGTATTTTTATTTACAAATATAAGATTAGAATATTAGTGCATGAAAATTATTGATTAAACACCCAACACCCTGTGTGTGGAATCCTTATAGGTACCGCCTCGAGGCTACCTTAATTGATTTGACCCATATTTGACCTAACAAAAATGTCCACGAAAATCCCAGTATACTTTTACCTCCACTTTTACTCCTTCAGTCGTCTCCTCTTCACTGAAATGTTAACCATTGAAATTATTCCAAGCATGTTTTAATTTTCCTTTGAAGGTACTGGTGCCCTAGTTTCCTATTTTTCTTCATACGCCAGACAGCTAGGATTCTCCAGCGTTGTTGTGGGATTCATTTATACAATCTTGCCAATCAGTGGAATGTTGGCAAAACCGATTTTTGGCATGATAGCCGATAAATTCAGATGCCAAAAACTGTTGTTTCTCATGTCACAATTATTGACAGCTGCTGCATTTCTTGCCATATTTTTTGTGCCCAAATTGGAGATCGAGAGAAAGGGCTTGTTCTCTTGTCAAAATGATACTCCTATCATTGTGGCAAATGCGACACAGCAGTTGAGTGATTGTGATGTGTCTCATGATGATACCATCGGATCATGCAAAGTAAGTGATACATAATAGTTATTTATGTATTAAGGGAATTATGAGGGCCTTAATTACCGATGGCAAAGTTTGCGTCCCGAGGGCCTCTGGCCCGAGGGACAGCAATTGCCTGAGGTTATTGAGGCTCAGTAATTCCCGTGATACATAGATAATTTTATTTCTGACTGATTTCATTCATTAGATACCTTCCCGATTGGAAGTTAGACATGTTTTTCCGTATAGTTTCAATGTCATCAGAATGTCAGATGATGATCTTGACTACCGCGAATAGGAGATTCCTTATTGCTACACGTTACTACGTGGTTGTTGCTATGCATTTCTTATTTAATTTTAGTTAGAGGGAATTATAGCATCTATAACATCCCAAGGGAGTTATGACCCTCATAATAGATATCGTAACTATGACGATATAAGCTTATAATGTCACTGTCAGAAATAAACATAATGTACCAGTGTGAAAAGAGCAACGTGAATACAGGGTGTCCCTGAAAGATCTGTACAAAATCGTAGCGCATCATATTCCCGAGATATGCCGATTCAAAGCACCTTACCTTAGTCCGAAATTGCTGTTTTCGAGTTACAGGGTGGTGAAGTAAAAAAATAAAAATCAATAAATACACTCCAGAAGAGTATTTTGAAAAGTCCTTCTTCGTATTGGTAAGTCACTGACCAACTTACAACCACGAAGATAACAGCGAACATTTTTTATTCTAAACAATTTAAATATTCCAGTGCGGCATCGAACAAATATCTTGAAAACGGCTTACTTTAGCAGATTTTGACAAGAGTACCTTTTTTGCTCAAATATGTTCAGAAAATTGTATCTCCAACAGAAAAAGTATGAAACTACACTGAGATGAAAGTTAGCTCTCTATTGGCCACAGTGAAAAGATGTCCGTTTTCGGCTTATTGTGTACCCCAAAAAAACTCCTGGTTACCGATTGTTGGAGTAATGCATTAAAAATGTTCATAAATCTTGAAAAATTCGATTTTTAGTTTTCAACTTTACCACTCCGTATCTCGGAAACGGAACAATTTTGGTCTGAGGTAAGTTGCTTTGAATCAGCTTATTTTGATCTTAGGAATATGTGCTGAAATTTTGTACAGGCCGTTTAGGGACACCCTGTATATTCAGCAACAACGGAGATTCTCAAAGGCAGGCCACAAAAATACGAGGTGTTTTTGAAATAAATGAATGAATAAATAAATACCGCACATGGATTTGATACAATCTAACGAATATTTCCATGAGACCAGATTTTTATTCTTTTAAACCTCAACTGGTATCGTGGGGTGGGGATTCCGGCCAACCCAACCCAATCCTATTTCCTTCTCCTTTCACACCTATCTCCCTTTTCGATACAGGAAAAGCGATGATAAGTTCTCAAGTAAAATTATCCGGACGTGAAATACATATATCCATTCCATTCGGACTCGAATTCTATTTTCTTAATGCATGAAAAAAATCTGGTCATGATTAAATAGTTCAGATAGTTGGATTCATAGTATTTCCATTCCTTATTCGATTTGAGCTAGTTTTTTCGACATCCTATCCCTGCGGCCTGCCTTTAGAAACCTCGTTAGTTTCAATACTGCTGTGGCATTTTCTATAATATTGTTTGATTAACTCATACTCTTGATCATTCCAGAAACCAGATCTCCTATGGAGATAAAATTGTGAATAACACAAAAATTATTCGGAGTCATTTTTCTATTGATTTAAATTTCAAATTGCTTTTCAGATGGGCTGTGATGTTAATAAAAATTTAGCAAACTCACTTTGTAATGAATGGAACCTGATTCAGTATTGTGGACCTGGATTTCCAAATCTAGTTTATTTCAATATCGAAGTACCGAAATCCCGAATAACCCAGAAAAAAAAACAAGTTACCTTTGAGATAAACAATATCACACTAACAGATGGTTCTCTCATAGAATCAGCTTGCCCAGTTAACCAAAGCATTACTACATTTTGTTCCATCGAATGCAATGACTATTATATGAATGATATAATAACGAAGCCCGCATTGAAAGACGATGAAACCTATAGTTTGTACCAGTTTTGGACGTTTCTGATCCTTATGATGGTGGGTTGGGTTGGACAGGCCATAGCAGTTAGCATAGGGGATGCTATTTGCTTCCAGTTGTTAGGTGAGCTTCAATGTTCCATATTTCCTACTGCAGTATTTGTGGTTGAAATCTATGTATGTAATTCCGGGATACTCATAGTTGGATGATACTTCATTTCAATTTCCTAACTGGATAAATCTCTCAATAATTTAATTTTTTATTCTATCCGCAAAACATAAACTGACCCATATTTGAAGCGAGACAAGCAAAAACTTTGGATTGGATCAACTAATTTTCAATTTCTTTCAAGATTCTGATTTTGTTATTCCACTTTTTCGACATGAAGACCTACAGGGTAGGGTGATATCTGAAAATGTGATAATTTTCGAAAAGTTTCACCGTTTCACCGGGATTATCGAGGTCTTATCGAGGGCGATAAAATGACGACTCTACGATGCATTTTCGTATAGAGGTAAATTGATTTCAATCGGCCTATTTTGGTCTAGATCACCCTGTAGAATTCATGGTACGTTGTTCTGGGACACCTTGTAAACATACCGAAACAAAAGCAAAAAGAGAAAAAGAGGAAGAGAGAAAAGGTAGATAGAGAGATGAAAAATTAAAGAGAGGGAGAGTGAATGGAACTTTCCAGCTTATTATTTTCTATACTGGGTGTATTCTTTTAGGTGACAAACCAAGTAAATATGGATATCAACGATTATTCGGAGCTCTTGGATGGGGATCAGTGGCAGCTATAACTGGTATTCTCATAGATGCTCTTAGCGAGGGCAAAGCTGAGAAAGATTACTCTGCTGCTTTCTATTTGGCCACCATATTCATTGTCCTAGATTTCATAGTGTCTTCTAGATTGATGGTGAGTTTTTGTAGAATTGATTCTTTGATTAGATCAAATTGCCCATGCGAATATATTATTATATCGGGTGACACAGCAGACATGTAACAGCCGTTAGTTTTTTCATTTGAAGAGATTAAAATCGAAATGTTGTATTGGGGCCACATCCAACCTCATGTATTTCAATAAAATGCAGTTCAACAGCCAGTTAATAAACGAATATAAAATTGTGATACATAGTTGAATAGAGAATTTTAAGGCGAATAAGATGGGCTACAGAAATATACAGGGTGCCATTTGAAAAAAAAAAAGTTTGGTCTACTTACAGGTGGTTGAAGAAAATTGTCATTGGGTTCAAGGGAAGCGCCATCATCGATTATATAACCCTACGGAATTTCAATTTTTTATCTCTTCAAATGAAAAAACTACAGGCTGTTACATGTCTCCTGTGTCACCCGGTATATATTACTTGATTATTTGGGATTTTCTCTCCTCGTTTCTACAAAATAAAAATATGAGTATTATTTCAATAATATAGGTATGTGTAGTAGGACAAATCAGATGATTTGCCCCAAAATGTCACTGCGTTTAACAAATTTTTCTATCAGGTAGTCTAAAAGAAAAATCCAATAGCTTGTCAGTGACAGTTTGTTTGGAAAAAAGTTTGAAGGGAAAAATATAGATATATTGAAAAGATATCGAATTTTCACTTAGCTTTGAACGTTTCGGGAACGAATCTGCTCCCGTTCTCAACATGAAAAAGTAAAATATTCTTCTCCGATTCTGTTCTAGTTTGACAGTGTCATACTGATGAGTGATAATGTTAGTACATACAAATGAGTTACAGGATGTTTTCATCGATGGGCGTGTACACCTTAGTAGAACTTTTAACTCAAACCATGTTTATAATGATCCTTTCATACATAAATAATGATTGACGACATAATTCGATCGAAAAATTAACTGAAATGTTTTATTTTTGGACATAAATAATAGTACCTTCTGAAAACGGACCCTCTTACGACGTAGAAACCTCATCTCGCCATAGTTAAAAGAAAATACCAAACGCCCGACGGAGACTGAAGCAACTGATATATTAATTCTTTCAACTGTTATCTCGCGCTAATTCACTCTGTCAGAAATCATGTATCATTCATCTCTGTCTGGAATAGTTTTGTTTCAGTATTAGGGTTTTGACGTCACATCATCGCCTCGGTCCAAAAAATCGGGGATTCCAATAATTTTTTATAAAACGTAGGGAGCTCACAGCAAGAAACGGTTTGCGGTGGTGAGCTAGTTTGGTCGAGTTCTATCGAATTATGAAATGAAAATTTTTTGTGATATAAGCCCATTGATCTTGAATCTACCATTTTCATGTTCAGTTTTCAGTAGTGAATACCATGTTCAAAGTAAAGCTGAGTAAAAATTCGATATCTTGTCAATATATCTATATTTCTTCTCTTCAAACTTTTTTCCAAACAAAGTGCCACTGACAAGCTATTCGATTTTTCTTTTAGGCTTCCTGATAGAAAAATTTGTTGAACGCAGTGACATTTTGAGGCAAATCATCTGATTTGTCCTACTACACTTACAGTGTGACCCATTTCTAATGGAAACACCCCTGTATCTTACGTAATCGTTGGGTAAGGATCCTGAAGACCCCGCACGAAAACACGGGAAATTGGCTCTCGGTCGAATTGGCTGAAATTTTACTATGTTGTTGTAGGATGGCCCATTAAAAAAATATGTGAGTTTAAAAAGTTTTGTATGTTTAGTTTCTGAGATATAAGCCGACAAAGTTCGTAAAAACGTCGGGTAGGATTGACAAAGAAAAAAACTGTCTTTTCAGTATAAATGAAACAAAATAAGCTAGAAAATGTAATGATCGGAACTCATAACCATGTCTAGTTGTGATCACATAAATTATAGTGAATCAGGGTGTATACGAGGCACGGTCAAAAAATTCATTCTTCGGAGAAAATCGAGCTCTATTCCAAAACCAACAAGTTATATTTTGGTAGGACATAATAGTTTTAGTCTATTGTAAGCTTCGAAAACGTATTTTGATTCTTGATAACTATCTCTGTTCGAAATATGAATTTTTTGAATTAACACAAAATTCCCCCTTTTTGAAAACAATTGACAGCTTGTTTTTAATCACAAAGAAAGGGATTGATACTGTTGATTGAATAAAAGCTGAGGTAACTCACTAGCGAATTCAGTTGTTCAATATTGCCTTCCATTTAGATACAGGGTGTGTTAGATTTTGTTGAAGATTATTTAACATGTTTCAATTGAATATCTTGAAAACAGTTCCGTCAATTTGGATCTCATTTCACTCACACTATTTCGAATATGTTGACTCATTTGCAAAAAGTTTTTCAATTTTTTATGTTTCGTTTCTGAGATATCAACTTTTGAGTTTACAGTATTACAGGTATTATAGGGATTCATATCTCAGAAACGAAACATAAAAAATTGAAAAATTTTTTGTATATGATAGTCAACATATTCAAAATAGTGTGAGTAAAATGAGATCCAAATTAACGGAACTGTTTTCAACTAGACATGTTTATGAGTTCCGATCATTACATTTTCTAGCTTATTTTGTTTCATTTATACTAAAAAGACATTTTTTTTTTCTTTGTCAATCCTACCCCGATACGACGTTTTTACGAACTTTGTCGGCTTATATCTCAGAAAGTAAACATACAAAACTTTTCAAACTCACATATTTTTCTAATGAGCCATCGCACAACAATATAGTAAAATTTCAGCCAATTCGACCGAGAGCCAATTTCCCGTGTTTTCGTGCGGGGTCCTTTGCTGGAGCGAGAGATATTCCAAAAATACTCCCTATGACCAAGTGGGGTCATCTTCAGTGATATGCACTGCTTCCAACAGCCATATGGAATCACCCCAATTTCCAGAAAATGATATTAGTTGAAATAGGTTGAAAATCACTTCGGATTCGGAATCAGAACGCCCAATTCACTATTCATAGTTTTCCTAGGAAATTTGCAGTTCAGAAAAATTAAATTTTGTCTCACCTCTCATGGAAGCACCCCCGTATCTCACGTAATTATTGAGGTAGGGTTCTGAAATCTGCAGGAGGAAGGTAAAGTCCAAAGATCAATTATGTAAGATACAGAGGTGCTTCCGTAAAAAGTGCGACAAAACTTAATTTTTCAAAACTGAAAATTTTCCAAGAAAAATATGAATATTTAGTGAATTGGGCGTCCTGATTCCGAATCTGAAGTGATTTTTGACCTATCTTGACTCCGTATATCATTTTCCGGAAATTAGGGTGGTTCCATGACTGTTGGCGAGTAGTGTATATCACTGAAGATGACCCCACTTGCTCATAGAGTGCATTTTTGGTATACAGGGGTGTTTCCATTAGAAGTGGGTCACACTGTATAATGGAATAATACTCATATTTTTATTTTGTAGAAACGAGGAGAGAAAATTCCAAATAATAAAGTAAAATGAATGTTACAACTCCTCGATTAATCTACAGACAGTATATCACTATAATCCTTCTATGAATGTCATAAGGAGAATGTTATCTTATTTGACCATAAAATGTTCCTATTTATTTATACAGAGTGTTCCAGAAATGGGAGTGATCAAATGAAAAGGGTAATAGAATATGAAAAAAACAAGATGAAATGAAGTACAATTCTGTCAAAATAAAAAATATCTTAGGAGATGCTGAACTTGAAAGTTTGCCCTGAAATCATTGATCACAGGTCAATAGTCAAACCCAAGGGTTAGCTTTCAGCCAGGCCCGAAGCTCCGGAAGTATACATGACTTCTGCAATATCGCCGGATATTCAATGATAGTTGAACATGGTCTTCTCTGTCCTTGTTTGTACAGGATGAGCCAAAAATTGGACACTTTTGAAGGGAAAGTCCTATTCCCGTACTAGATAGAAAAAAACTAATGCCTGTTGATCAATTCACATTACAAACTCAAACTGCATATCGATATCTATCTTCGTTTCACAGTTACAAGTAGTTTTTCGAAAATATGAATTTTCAAAAAGTGGCTGAAACTCATATTTTTGTCAAAAATTCTTCGTTTCCATAAAAACATTTCCAAATCATTTATCATGGAAATTGAGGCACCGACATCAGTTTTCTTCTTTCTATTTGGAGAACAGGAATTTCAAAAGTGACCAATTTGACCCACCCTGTACATATTGTTTTAAAAGTGTGAATAATGCTATATTGAAAAATGAAAAATTTTACTTTGGACGTTTCAGGAACGAATCTGCTTCCATTGTTAATGAATCAGTATTACATTTCAATCGAAATGATTAGATAATTTATGGATGTGGTTTACATTCCCCATTGCTTATCTAAATTTTATGGATATGTTAACTCATTCAGACAAAAGGAGACACAATTAAGTGCAAGGTAACCTGACAACCTGTTATACCGGGTATATACAGGGTGTTTCAAAAAAACCGAACTCCCTTGCTAGGGTAGGTAGAACATTGCAAAATAAGTTGGGTTTGCTCAGTAAAAAAATGTCGTAACGTCATCCGTTTTCAAGATACAAGGTGTTGAAACAATATTTTTTTTACACATTTTTCACGATTATGTTGAAACTACTGGTAACATTGTGATGGAATTTTGTATGGATGTTTCTTGGAATCTGACATATCGCATGCATTTGTTTTTATATCTGACTATCATAGAGGGCGCTAGTAACACGGCTCGTACTGAGTAGTTTTGAACATAACTTCTTTGAGGTTAGATTTTTCAATCCAAATTCGATGTGAACTTGAACATCATTCAATTTCACGCCAAAAAGATAATCTGAATAAAACTCGATAATGTGTTCCGTTTTCGGAATATTTCGATTTGAAAATGATGAAGTGGTAACTGTTGCTGGTATGAAGCTATGTATTAGAGTGAGTATTATGAAAAATTATCACCTATTTATTGAAAACCGAAAACAACAATACATTTCTGATGCAAAACTCATTGATTTAACAATGAATCACAAGAATAACATCGAAACAGATTGACTAAGAACATGGATTACACAGTTTTGTTGTATCTTGAGCAGAAAGTCTATGCTACATAGGTAAATTCACGTCAAGAGTTGGGAGACATAATTGAACATCACTTGAATGACCTAACAGCTGATCCTCAACTGTTCAGAAGAATAATACATTCTTAAAAAAATAATATAGAATCGTGTATTCCTCGAAACGTAGGACATTTTGAACACTTACTCTAACTGATTCAATATTTCATGTTTCTAGTCAAATATCTCTACTTATGATTTTTTGTTCCATCAATAACTTCAGCACAAGAATAATTTTATTGTTTTTGAACCTAAATAAATAGGTAATTGAACTCAATAAAATTCATTTTTTAATACCAGCATCATTACTACTCCATTATTTTCAAATCGGAATATTCCTAAAACGGGACATAGTATCGAGTTTCACCAGGAGTACCTTTTTGGTGTAGAATTGAATGATGTTCAAGTTCATATCATATTTGGATTGAAAAATCTAACCTCAAAAAAGTTATGTTCAAAACTACTCGGTACGAACCGTGTAGCTAGCGCCCTCTATGAGAGTCAGATATAAAAACAAATTCATGCGATGTGTCAGATTTCAAGAAATATCCATACAAAGCTTGCGTTTTATTGACATTGCTAGTGTCACCAGTGGGACAGAATGGCCGTTTTATTGAAAATTCTGTGGAATTTTTCATCATACTGGTGCAACTGGCCATTCGGACTCATAACATCGAATGTGTGGTGGAATGATTGGAATGTTTGACAAAAAAAGATATCTGACAGACATCAGAATAATTTTGTTGTGATCAAAACCTTTAAGAAAAAGTGATACGATACGGAATAGGTACTTCTACTGATGAAAAGATGAACCATCAAAAGAGAAAAAATGTTTATATAACTCATTATGATTCTGGACTGACGTTTTCAGTTTTTTTAAATTCAGTGGAACATGATAGAATTTCAAATGGTGAGTAACTATATTCATTTTCAGTTTTTCATTCATCTTGTTATTATTCTTGGAATTACACTTCAACTGAGGAATTCATTGTATATTGCAGATCAAGATTTCGTTGATGAAGTTGCCAGAAACCACTATGAACTATATCTGCAAGGGTTAGTTAAACCTATAAATAGTAGTACATCTTCAACCAATACTCCTGATTCTGCTCTTGGGTCTGAACAATCAATTGAGATTGCTCCAGCCAACAATATATCTCAAATTGTTCCTGAACAGTTAACTCAAAAAAAAGCACATATTTGGTCTAAGAATGAAACCCTTTCATTGATTGAAAAATATAACAATAAAAAAACATTACTTGAAAACCCAAAATATAAGAAGGCTGATATATACTCTGTGATAGCGCAAGAACTGAATGTAAATGGTTACATGTTAACAGGTGAACAATGTATGAATAGAATGAAAACATTGATCAATAAATATAAAGAAGTTAATGACCACAATAACAGCAGTGGAAACAGTTTGAAACACTGGGAATATTTCGACCTAATGTCAGAGTTTTTAGCAGATAAGCCATATGTGAATCAAATTGCACCTTGTTCAAGTCGCTCACTTGCACCAATACCCCATGATAATGAAGAAAATATTATAGGTGGAAGAGAATCTTTGGGAACAAACGTGGATGAGACTATTGGGAATAATATAAGCAAGAAACGCAAAGTTATTAAAAGTACCCCAAGGCAGGAAATGCTTAAAAGGCTGGAAATGTATAAAGAAGACGTCCAAAGGAGGGAAGAAGCCAGATTGGAGATGATTGAGAGACATCATAATGAAAATAAATCACTGATAGAGGGTCTGATGAAAATCCTACAAAAAGATAATGAATAATCCATAACAAACTGAAATCCTGCATATTTTTCTTTTCAAAGTAAAAGCAGATTACTTATATTTTTTTTTTTCATTTACCAAGTTATTATTTGGAATATGTTTAGTTTTTGTATCTGATATTGTTCACTCTGTTATGAAATACAAAAAGAGAAACTCCTTAATTCTAATAATTGTCTGTTTTTAATGAACTATCTAGAAAACAATTAAATTACAATGAATAATAAACATTTCCTCATATAACTGTATCATATCAGCCTTTGGATACCGAAGATCAACTTTCAGACAAGTTGATGTTGGATGCTATGGAGTAGATCTTGAGCCACTGTGTTTCGAAAGAGAATGCCATCATTATCCTCCATGAAATAATTACCATAATGAATTTCATTATCTTCACTATCATTGATATCACTTCCATCAGTCCCATCTCTGATATATTGCCGAATGTCTTCATCACCTTTGAACAAGCAAATATTGTGGAGAACACAGCATGCAACTATTGTGCTGTTGATGTTATGCATGTATTTCATGTCTAATAATTCTTTGATTCGGCGAAACCGTCCTTTAAGCAACCCGAATGAATGTTCAATCTTCACCCTGGTTTTTGATAATACTTTATTGAAAGTCTTTTGACATTGTATCAGATTACCATTATTTTTGTAAGGTGTTAACAGCCAATTATTTGATGGGTAGGCTGAATCTCCTATCAAATAGTAATCTGGAGCACAAAGTCTATGGCCTACAGTAAATAAATCTGAAGTCCTGAATACACGTGCATCATGCACACTTCCAGGCCATCTGACATCAACATCTGTAAACATGAGGTTATCCTTACATACACCTTGAAGAATAACTGAGTAGAATTTTTTTCTATTGAAATAGTATGTACCATCATCTTGGGGCTTTTTTATGGGTATATGACAACCATCTATTGCTCCTATCACTTTTTTCAGTCCATATTTCGAGTAATGTTCAGCAATAACATTCTTTTCGATATTTGTTGGCCATCTGATAAATATATGACATAAATATTTATTCACAGCTTGCACTACTGTATGTATCAGGTGATGAACAGAATATTTCGTAATATTGAAGCGATCTCCAACTGACCTATATGATTCTGGGTTGGCTAAACACCAGACTGCTACCAACAACGTTTTCTCAGTATTGATTCTTTCTCTACCTCCAAACTGTTCATGTTCTGTTTTCCGAAACTCATCAGTATTCTCAAGTTTGTTGAGAATGAAATGGAAACATTCAGGAGTCATTCTGAAATGGCTCTGGAAGGTTTTTGTATTAAATCTTGGTATAACAATTTCATAAAAATTTTCACTTTTCGGGACTTCTTCATTACACATTCTAAAAAAAAACAGAATGGAACATTCATTATCCTGGATTTAATTATGTCATCTTACGAATCCATTATTTCATGAAGAATGTCGCTATCATCTTCTCCAGCGAATATACATTTCAATGCACTTTCCATTTCCATATTCAAAATAGTGCTAACTGCATAACTTACTACAATATTCTTTATTGCTGGCTCCATTGATACTATCAAATATCGAATAACACCAATTTCTAGGGAATGATTATTGATTATTGATCAGTTATAGTAGTAATACTCACGTACCCCACAGCCCATGTACCAGAATTATTATTTGATATGTATAATCAATCCAATTCAAGGATCCAAATTGAATATTGATATCTTTATTGATGATAAGGTATGTCAGTTTGATTATTGTTTGTGGTTGTCACAAGGTATTCAACACAGCAATGTCATTCTTCATTTTTTGCCGTTTTATTCATTTCCACACAATTCTCACACCAGAGAAACACAAAAAAACGCGACTAAAATTTCATCACAATGTTGCCAGTAGTTTCGGAATAATCGTGAAAAATGTGTGAAAAAATAATTTTTTCTACGACTGCTATGAAAAGTAGCGTAATTCTCATGGCTTACTCAATTTCAAAACCACGAATTGCTCATACCTGTGAGAAATATTATTTCTCACAGCACTTTGCCAACACCACGCATAGTAGGTACCTACCTTTTATATGGAGAATCAACTAAAATCGACAAAAACTTAGTTGGCCGCTGTTGTCACGAACAACTGTCAACAGAATTTATTTCAATTTTTGAGGTAGTTATCAATCGTGTTTCGATAAAAAATCGCAATTTCATTGAATATTAGTAAGACATAATATACATATTTGTACCAGTGATAGGTAAATAATATGGAAACTTATGAAAGCAGTGACGATTTTGACAATACTCCACCAGAAATATTGGAACAAGCGGCAAAAGTAACATTAGATTTGTTGCCGGAAATTTCCCGAAAGAAGTATGAATTGGCATATGGGAAATTCATGGAATGGAGAAGAAATACGAAAATAAAATCGTTTTCGGAAAGTGTACTTTTGGTACTTATACTTCGAAGAAATGTCGAAAACTTTGAAGGCGTCAACACTTTGGTCACAATATTCGATGTTGAAAAGTACCATCAGTATTAAACATAACATTGATATATCCACGTATCAAAAATTACGTGCATTTTTGAAAAGAAAGTCTGACAATTACTTCCCAAAGAAATCAAACATATTAACAGCCGACCAATTGCAGAGATTTTTAAAAGAAGCTCCAAACAAGGAATATCTACTAATAAAGGTGGGTTTATTATTTAAATTGAACTATTTTTCGAATTTCTTCCGCTTTTTTCCTCGAATTAACAGCTTTTTATAGTTAGTGGGTGTATTCAGTAGGTAAAAATAATTAGATAATCTTCAAAAAGTCAATTTCATATTGTGGAAGATGAGTATATGCCTATGAATAAATATTTTAATAACTACTCCGTGGTGTAGTGGTAGTGCTTCCGCTTAGGATACTAGCGGCCCGGGGTTCAATACCCGGCCAGGGATGATATATTTTTTTAATTATATAAATGATTTTACATCCTGATATTTTTATTTGTAGGTTGCAGTGGCTATTGGCGTAGCAGGGGCATGTCGTAGAGATGAACTGTGGAAATTAAAAGTCGATGATTTAGAGGATCTAAATTCGGCTTTGTTGGTGAAATTAGATAACACCAAAACAAAGAAGCCAAGAACTTTCACTGTAACGGGGGAATTTTATAATATATATAAAAAATATGCCGCTCTTCGACCGAATGATTTGGCAGAAAAACGTTTCTTCTTGAATTACCAGAACGGAAAATGTACTAGACAAGTAGTCGGCATCAACAAATTTGGTAGTATGGCAAAGAGAATTGCAATTTTTTTAAAATTGGAAAATCCCCATTTATATACAGGACACTGCTTCAGACGTTCTTCGGCAACAATTTTAGTAAATGCAGGAGGTGACATATTAACCTTAAAGCGCCATGGAGGATGGCAATCCAGTACCGTGGCAGAAGGATACGTCGGAGACTCTATTAAAAATAAAATGGACGTTGCAAATAAAATCGTCGACTCTATTGAAAAACCAGTAGAACTATTCACTGAAATGGAGACAGAAAATGCACCACTGTACATAAATAATCAACCTTCAACTTCTACTTCTACAATTAATATAACAGAAAATTTACTCAAAAACAATGACTTTCCTGGTTTGACCATACAAAATTGTAAGAATTTCACAATTAACTATAATTTCAAATGAATAATTCAACTGTTAAGAGGTAGGAAACTTGTTATTATGTTATGTTATTTTAGTTCTGCTATAACCCATAAAAAATAAAAATTGAGTTACATTGTTCTTTGAATATGTGCAGTCGTAGAAAAAGTATAGTGTGCAACATGTGGGGAAAAGTACTTTCCTCACTCGTGTGTTTGCGGCACTCGCCTTTCAGGCTCGTGCCACAAACTTCCACACTCGTGAGAAAAGTTGAACTTTTCCCACTTGTTGCACAATATACTATTTTCAACACGGATGCCGTTAAGACATTTTTTTCACAGAGCAAACCCAACTAATTTTGCTATGTTCTACCTACCCTATCAAGGGGGTTAGGTTTTTTTGAGACACCCTGTATATTGAAGCGAAACATTACCTTTAGATTTCTTATCATGGTAGGTTTACAATTTCTAGTTCAGCCATCAATATGAATGATATTGATGCATTCAAAACGACATAATTTATGACCATTATTTCGCTTATCCATATACAATTTGACCAAGATAAGGTTGCACAGCATATGTATTCAGATAACCTAATTTTACACCAATATGTACGAATTCATGATGAATATGCTAGTCATGAATTAAATGCTGAAAATGTTTGAGATGGTAAAGGGTGAATCTATCATTGAGTTCAGCAGAAAATATCCGGGATGTGTATTTCCGAACACATGTGCAGTACAGAGCGCTACATTATACAGGGTGTCCCGAATCAGCCTGCCAAACTTCACCAGCGGCTTTTTCTACCAAAAATAGGAAGAAAAGTTTTAATGAACTTGAGTCGAGAAAGTATCATTTCCGAGTGAAATCGATTTCAAAATATTGATACACTCACATCTTATGCATAACATTGTCAATTGTCATATCATAGTGGCAATAAACAAATCAACTATTTTCTTTTCACCAAAAAATCTCATAAAAGCGCGAAAAATAGGAAAATGATGATGAAAAAACGACTTCAATTTTGGTGTTCTTTTTTCCATTTCAACTACGAATCATTGCAATGTTCTACATAATATCTGAGGTGAAACAATATTTTGCTGAATTTAATACATGTTACTTGAGTTACAACTATGTAGAAGATGTTTCCTCGGTAGCCAGACAGACATACAGTGCTTTCGTAAAGTACTGAATAACTAATTTACAGTCAAACTTTCAATTTCTGAAAAATCTCTTGAAATAGATCTAGGTACTTTTAATTTCAATTTGCCACATTCATATGGGGAAATTAAATAAACAGGGCGATCCACGTTGGAATTATCATGTCCGCGTCAATTATTTCAAATGGAACACCTTATATATTATTCGATTTTTGAAATCTCCATGGAAAGCTGAATTCAAACATACACAGGGTTTGTATACAGTGCGTCCGTTAAATTCAGTGCTCTCTCAAAATATAGAGAAAATTAATAAATTCGAAAGGAAGCCCAAATAATAATAAACTTCGACAGCTTCAAGCTTTCTTTTCAGAAATTATTTCTTTATTTTTTTGCGAATTTTTCAGTTACTCTAAGTTAATGGGCGCACTTTTTAGAAATCCTATGTGTGATATATTTTTGAATCCAGCTTCCAATAGAGATTCAAAAAATTGAATAATATACAGAGGGTGTTACAAGTATGGAGATCTCGGTAACCTTAAGAGATACAGAGTAGGTCAAAATAGTGTAAAGTAGCACCATTTCATGTTCAACAAAATGCCGCTTTGAAATTGGAAAAATTTCAATTACTTCCTGAGATATCCGAAAAAAGGGAAAATATGCAAAATCGTTTTCGTTTATTTCTCAATTCAAAATTATATTTACTGTTAGTTCTTTGCTATAGAGCTCACGATGATGTCCTTTTAAAAAATCAGTGGTCTCCCTCAATTATCAAATAATGAGATAGATCATTTGTCAATACAGAGATTGAAACGAACTCTCATGTTTGGAAAAAAATATGCTCGATGATAAAAAATACATCGATCCTATCAGTATACTGATTTAATATTTTCAAGGTAAAGCGACGATTGACGTTCGACAAATGTCATGTCATCTGTCAGTTTCGTTGAATAATGAGACTAATTCAAAATGATAGATAAAAGTCCTATTTATTGTTTTTTTTATACGGAGGACAGTTTTTGGATTCTTCAATATTTCGAACTTTATGATGACTGACAAAATAGTAATTCATTAATAATTCCCTCTTAACGTGAGAAAATTCAGAAATAAACATGATATTAGAATGAAATTTGGTATCTCACTCGAATATCACTATTATTTTGGATTTCATTCACAAAAAAAACCGAAATAACAATCAAAATTTGACACTCTGCATCTCAGAATGAATAACTTGCGGACATATTATGTTTACACAAACTTCTCTTTTTATATGTTAAAATAATTTAGTTGGTTTCGCAAAAAATTATTGACCCAGAAATTTTATGATTTTATATGGAAAACAATTACTCTTTTATTGCTTAATCCGGCTTTGCATATTTTAAGGCTTTTCATCGAATTCAAGGATGTGTCTACCGTATTTTATAACTTAGATATAGGACGTTAACTTGATTTTGGTAAAATCTTCATCTGGTCATGACTTCCGAACAACTTCGTATAATCTATCAATACTAGGTAGAAATATTTCACCTATATTACCCATCGAAACTATATGAAAATTGGGATCAGAATCCAGGTCCGTACTGAGGGAAACCAGAAAATTTCTTTCATTTAAAAAACAACACTTTGTATGTCAAAATTTTGTAGATCTGTTTTGATATTGGAAAAGAGCAGGGAAAAACGAATAAAGTTACCAACTTTTTACGAGCGCGCATTCGATTTGACAGATGGTTAATTGTTATTTTCTGAAATACTCAGTTCCATCTTGAGCAAAAAATGAGTCTTCAGAGATCAACATCATTAGAGTCAGATTTGGTCAACTATCGATAGATTTTTTCGTTTGACAGAATAACTTGTAAATGATTTTAGAAATTCTTGAGGGGTCATTTAATTCTTCGCTATCAATGGGGGAGACCACTGATTTCTTAAAATGACATTATCGTGAACTCTATACTGAAAAACTACCAGTTAATTAATTTTGAATTTTGTCATTCATGCTAAGACGATGAAAATAATAAATTAAAATATGTCCATTTCAAAACACACAATTCCTGCGCCATTTGAAATTTTGTCATTTCATTGGTGTGACTGGTGCGACGTCTTATTCCCAACACGCCTATTGTCCTTGAACTGACCAATCACACTGCAACACTGCAGAATGATGAGGTATCAGAGAGAGATAGCTACAGTTCGGGACTAATACGTCACGACTCCACCATCATATTTGGCTGTCGTTAGAAATATCGAATGAAATATGCTGATTTCAAAACGATATAGATTCGATTCCCTTCAACTTCAACTCATAATATTGATTGTACATCAAACGTAAATCATGATTCGTCGATTGAAAGAGGTTTGCACGGATTTCTTTTCTCAGTGGTCTTCCCCATTCATGAGCTGCGGTGAAGTAAGCTGTGCAAAAAATCTGACAGTTCCTATAATCACTAACGCTATAACTTAATGTAACCAATTATATTAGACTGGTGATAATGAACTGTCAGAATTTAAAAATGTTTTGCACAGCCTACTTTCCGCAGCTTATGAATAAATAGTGAAGAATAAAATGAGTCCTCGAAAATTTCCAAACGAACAAATCTATCTAACACAAGCGGATATTTTCGTGGTATCAGGCATGAATCTGGTCACTATTCAGTCTTGTGTTTTTAGTATACACAAGTAGAAGGATCATCGAACATTATCAGAGACGTGGGAACCTTGTTGCTCAACATCCGAATCATTTCCTATCTAGTTTGGTGTATATTCGTTGGAATGTGCACCGGTCTCATGTGGCAATTCCTCTTTTGGCTCATCGAAGATCTGGCTGCTCAAGGTGGCTGCGAATCTCAAGCTTACGTCAAAACTCTCGAGGGATTGGTGCAGGCCATTCAATCGCTGGCAGGTAAGAAAATGGTGTATTAGATCACAAGGGGCGTGTCGTCCACGGTAAACGTCGTCATTCTCATTCAGGGGTAAGGTCAGTAGCTAGTACACATCGCCAAATCTTAGAAGAGCTAACTCTAGATCCAGCATCTCTTTCTCTCTTCTTTCTCGTTCTGTGTCTATTTCATGTTTTCATCTAGTAGTTTTGAGTTGTGTGCAATATCGCAACTTCTTTCTTCGTCACACTCATTGAATAAACGGAAACTAGAACGCGAATATCTTCGAAATCGTTTGAAGTAACCCTATCAAACCCGGTATCGTTGAATTCGTTATGATAAGTTCTAACCGATCATGGAATGAAATACAGGTTGTTCCATTTGAAAATCAAAAGTTGGAGTCATTTCCTGTGAAACTGGAAGTGATAGAAGAAAAATTGTCCGCCATCAGCGATATTTTTCGATGTCTTATTTGATGAAGCTTGGTTCATTTTTTTATCTGTGGTAATAACATATTCACCTCAATCGTGGGACAACGCTTATCAGCAGCTTATCAATGTTGTTAAAAAAAACGATTAAATGAAAAATATGATAAAAGCTGAAACTTTACCAATCGTTTAATGACATATCGGAAAAAAAAATCACCTCCTACCACCAGTTTTGTTGAACAAGACCTAATGAAGTGAAAAAAAAGTGACAATGATAAAAGCTGATTTTTTTCCACCGGTAGTTCATTAATAACGAAGACAGAAAAACTTATGCTGCCAACTATTTGTTAGAACCCGGCCGCGATTTTCCTAAATATACTGCACGCTAGCACAAACCACGCCCACCATAATACGTCATATCTCATACTGTGCTCCAACGCAAGAACTGAAGCTTTCTCGTTGTCAATCTCTTGTACGCAGTAAATTCATACACCCAAATGGTCTACTGGTTAGCGCTGTCGACTCTCAGTCTGAAGGTTCATGGTTCGAATCGCTGTGAACTCGAACTTTTTTTTGCAACTTTTTTTTTTCACCAATGTTTTTTACTTCATTCTGGTTTTCCTTTTTCATAAAATATTTGAAGTCAAATAGGTTAGTGCGTTTAGGATAAACAGTCTCATTTTATTCAATTTTGTTGAAGAACTCAACTTTTGAAATATATTATTAATCAATGTGTTTCTACACTCCATTCGGTTTTCCTTCCTCAAAAATATTGCAATCAGGGATAGGTTAGTTCGTTGAGGATAAATAGTCTCTGAGTTTTGCCTAAGTAAAGTACTTTGAAGATGAGATATAACGTGGTATGTGCTACTTTTTCAATCGATTTATTTATATGAATCAGCTACGTTGTGCTGTCAAAGATTAGATTTTGCAGGATTGTGCTGGGCTCGATTATATTTTGCAATGCCGTAGTAGGGGGCGTGTCTTGTGCTGCAATAGTTTATATTTAGTAAAATCGCAACCCGGCCTTGGCAGGAGCAGAACAGACACCTGGTTATTACTCATCTGTTTTGCTACTCCCGAGTCCAGGTTCTGACAAAGGGCGAGTGAACTGATAATGAATTATTGGCATTCAGTTACAGTTATTATGCTGTTTCGTTATTGGTCAGAAAATCTTCCATTTACACTCATGAAGCAAGGTTGTCAAGTCACCAATTGAAATCAGGTTATCAAAAAGATGTTAAAGTCCCGTTCGTTGGATAAAACATAATAGGAGGAACCCATGACATAGTTCATTCTTGACCATTTCCTTTTTTTGCAGGAGAAGCCCCATTTTTCTTCCTGTCTGGTAGAATAATGAATAAAATCGGCCACGAAAATACCATGTCTCTGGTATTACTTGCCATCGGTATCAGATTCATCCTGTATTCGGTGATAGCGAATCCATGGTATTTCTTACCAATAGAACTCTTGAATGGAATCACAATCGGACTTGCCTTTGCTTGCCTATACTCCTATGCAAGTATTGTGGCCCCACCTGGAACGGAAGCAACCATGCAGGTTAGTAAATTGGTGTTCAAATTGAAATCAAATAGATTTTCATCACACAAGAAGAAAATAAAAAAAATAGTGTGAAAAATCAACTCCATTACAGAAAACGCCATTTCACAATGGCGTTAGTCATTTTGACATGGATGAATAAGGATAATAATAATAATAATAATATAATTTATTAACAAGAGAATAAATAAATTCATAAATAGAACAAATGGAAGTCAATAAATGATCTAGTTACTCGATAAATGACCAAACACTTGTTTCGAGAATTTTTTTTTATCGCTTGAAGCGCACGAAAGGGAATCCCTATAATGTTCAGAGAACATCGTGCGTTCCTAGGTATATAATAAAAATATGAACAAAAGCACTCACTAATACAATAAAATTATAAAGTTAAGATAATTTTTGAGTATGACAATTGACAAAACAGGATGCACCATGTTTATCATATCTAGGGCCAAACCGCAGTACCTTGTATGTGACAGTTTTTTATTGAAAATGTTTTCCGTTGTACAGATTGCAGTCAACAACGGATACAACGTTAATTTGATCGACAGTATTCTCTCTAAAAACCTTCATAATGAAGCTATTCAAGAAGTTCATCCTATCATCAATAATAATTATCAAAATTATAGAACTTAAACCTATTTCGGATCATCAACTGAAAAATAGCATCATTTCTATATAATCAGGACTTAAATGTAGCAAAGGTATAATGACAAAACTTCTAAATTCGAAAAATCATGAGTATACAAACTCAACTGTGGATCTTGTCCTAAGGTATATATCGGTCAGACAGGTCGTACGCTTAATCAGCGCATTCATGAACATAAGATGAATTTTTTGAAAAAGAAAACAAATTCAACATATGCCAACCATATATTAGAAGAATACCATAGTTTCGATGATAATTTCGGAATTCTACACCTAGAAAATAAAGGAATGAAACCCAATCATTTTGAATCATTAGAAATCAACAAACTGAAACATTTTAGTTAACGATCAATTAGACCTCAATAGTTCAATACTGTTGAATTTGTTTTCTCAGTAGCTATGCTATCAACCCTTTCAAATTAATCCGGTACACTGTATTTTAATGTAGATATTGTGCCTGATTTCCGAAAATGAAGGTTTATCGAACCTGTCCATGGGTAACTAATCCTTCAAGTTGGGAGAGTAGGATATATAAAAGTTGAGCAAGCCAAGGTTGGTTTAGTTCATTGTAGCAGTATATCTCCTGACGAAGCTCATGCGTTAGTGAAACATATGTAAAAACTTCACAAACGATAAGATTTCCACAAAATTCTTAAACACACGACATGTTTCGCTAACACAGTAGCTTCGTCAAATATCAATTATTTCCCGGTTTATTCAACAGAAAACAACTACTTTCCTGTCTATATGCCACGACGAACATTGAATAATATCTATTGAACACACACGATAAGAATTCGAAATCTTCTGAAGTTGAGAATTTGCATTCTCCTTCAGATAAAAATATATATTTGCACACAACATCATTTTGAATATTTAACAGAAAACAACTACTTTCCTGGCTATTTGCCACGTCGAATATTGCATTATATCTGATGAAACTCAACATGTGGATTCGTATGCTTGTAGCTGTTAATTAAAAAATGGATATACATATAAAGAAATACATTGAGAATTCGCATTCTCTATGTGATGAAAATATCAATTATTTCCCGGTTTATTCAACAGAAAACAACTACTTAAAATGGATATACATATAAAGAAATACATTGAGAATTCGCATTCTCTATGTGATGAAAATATCAATTATTTTCCGGTTTATTCAACAGAAAACAACTACTTACTTACTATATGCCACGACGAACATTGAATTATATCTATTGAACACACACGATAAGAATTCGAAATCTTCTGAGGTTGAGAATTTGCATTCTCCTTTAGATAAAAATATATATTTGCACACAACATCATTTTGAATATTTGACAGAAAACAACTACTTTCCTGGCTATTTGCCACGTCGAATATTGCATTATATCTGTTGAAACTCAACATGTGGATTCGTATGCTTGTAGCTGTTAATTAAAAAATGGATATACATATAAAGAAATACATTGAGAATTCGCATTCTCTATGTGATGAAAATATCAATTATTTCCCGGTTTATTCAACAGAAAACAACTACTTATTTACTATATGCCACGACCAACATTGAATTATATCTATTGAACACACACGATAAGAATTCGAAATCTTCTGAAGTTGAGAATTTGCATTCTCTTTTAGATAAAAATATATATTTGCACACAACATCATTTTGAATATTTAACAGAAAACAACTACTTACCTGGCTATTTGCCACGTCGAATATCACATTATATCTGTTGAAACTCGACATGTGGATTCGTATGCTTGTAGCTGTTTGAATCGCGGCACGTTCGGATATTCGTAAATGGGACATTATCCCCTTTCATTTGCTTTTTGTTTCAACTCGTTATCACATGACAGAAGTATGTTCGGAATAACATCAACAAATACATCGATGTGCCGTGGATTTGGCTAAGGGGTGAATCAGGTAGGTTTTTGAGATCTACCATTCAATTGGTATCGGATGGCATAATTCTCATCTCGTTATCAAATCGTAAAATTAAGGGTAAAATACTGCATAGGAAAGTTACATTTCTCAATCATTTTGCTCAGGATAGTGATTGGCACAGGTGCCATTCGATGAAATTCAATGTTTTTACGTGTCTTTGGAACATACACATTTCATTATCAGATGAAAGTCAAAATTTGCTGCCGGCTCTCCTACTAATACAGAAGCCGATTTGACCCACAGGTGACCAACCAACCTCGTTTTTCGGCGCTAATATTTTTGACATTCATAAGGTCAAATATAATCAGTGTTTAGTTTTGACGGCATGGATTTGTGTATGAACATTGATTGTATGATTCAATCATGTAATAGTCATACAAACACAAACCATGGTTCTATTTTTCCTGGAAATATTCGTCGATTGACATACTCCAGTTTGTTGCCTAAATTTCGCTCATGTCATTGGTCTGAAACGTCTCGTCTACTACGCCTACAGCCGACAGCTCGATAGTTTTGATAAACAATAATAGACCGATATAATATGAACAAATTTGAATGTAGAGCCATCGGCCAACTGCCCCCTGGCTGTCGTGGTGGCCATTTTCCAAAATGGCCGCCAGTGGTCACCCGAAAGACATCAGAAGTATGATAAAGTTTGCTGCTGAAGGTTTGAGAATGTTCATTGAATGTTGTGAATGAAACTTCGAGGTCATATTTTTTGGGTCAAAATAAGGAAAGAAGTTCATATATACATATGTCCGAGAACGATTCATTTTCGAGATATAAGGTGCTCAAGTTCCTTAAAAATATCGATTATTGCAATATCCTTTATAACTTATGTCTGGCCTAACAACGATATATCAAAATATGTGAAAAAATACAAGGTGTTATGGTGAAAGAGAGTTGATATAAACCTTTGAAAATCTCGGACTAATCCTCGATCAAATATTTGGTAGGAAAGTTCTTCATGCCTATCTTGTAAGATTAAATGCTCATCAAATCCACATAATATTTATTATACCCTTGGAATATATTTCCTTATCTTATGTAATTTGTGTAAAGTAGTGATTACCTCTGAATTTCATTGTAGCTAACAAAGTTCTGTAGAGGCATTGAAAAAAATTTATTCATATCATCTGTGTATGGAGTTGAACATTTGAAGAAATATTGATGCAATTTCTCAACGTTTTGAGTAATTCGTTCTTTTTGGGGAAAATATGAAAAAATAAATCAAGTTCTGATGAGTATAAAGCATTTTCAGGAATAATTATTCACTGCTAGAAAATTATAAATTATCAACAGTAATTACACAAGTGGTGGTAATTTTTTGATAATTTTAACTAGATGCACGAATCTTTGTTGCTATAGAAATTTCACGAGTGGACGAAGTCCACGAGTGGGATTTCTCAATAGCAACAAAGACGAGTGCTAAATCTAGTTAAAATTATTTAAAAAAATAACCAACACGAATGTAATTCGGCGTGATTATTTTTTTTACTATTTCGCAAAATGCCCCAGAATATGTTTATTAAACAATTATTTATTGAACAATCATTTATCATACAATTATATATCAAACAATTATATATCAAACAATTATATATCAAACAATTATATATCAAATAATTATATATCAAACAATCAAGAATGTTTACAATTTACGTTTGTAATGGTGCAATTATTGTATGTTATTGTACAATTTCCTTGAGATGAAGAGGTCGAAACAGTGTTTCCTCTCAAGTTGTTTATCATGCTTGCGTGATGCTCTTTGTCAAGTTGAAGATAGGGTTTGATGGAGCTTGCAGATGAATGTCCAGTTATCTTCAACAACTGCTGCTCACTTACTCCACTTTTAGCGAGTTGTGTCACAGCAGAAGAACGATGTGAATGGTTTGTAACCTTGATTTTGCTAGGATCCAAGCCAATCTTTCGGGCCGCTTGTTTTGTCCATTTTGCTATTTCATTTTGTCCTACCGGAAGATTTTTGTACCACCCCTTAGACAAAGGTTGCTGCCAATTTGGATTAGGTGTTAAAAATAAACGATCAATTTGAATATTTGCACTTCTTTTCGACATTAACTTCCGAAAGAGACGTACTGGACATTTTTCAGTCTCATTTTCATTTGGCGTTAAAAATTTGCTATCAGATAACCTGTGCGATCCTCCTTGTGCTGTTTTAGAAATTATTGGATTATATTCTATCCTTCCAGTTTGATTTCCATAATGATCCATTTCTTCTCTAAAATACTGTACTAATGCTTTTGTCGCTTCTCCGCCTCTCCAAGCCAATTCGTAGCTAGCAGTATGATAAAACTTCCTTTGTAAGCCATTTGGAGTATTTTCGTCCCATGCTGCTATCATTTTTTCTATTTCTTCTTTCTTGAGAGCAACAGAAGATGCTTTTCTTTTTTCAGGAATATGTTGAAGTTCTCGACGTTTGCAATTCCGCGCATCTCGCGCGGTCTTAAATTCAATATCAGTGAACGGATCAATGTTTCTATTATACTCCCTGAAATATTTTTCCTGGATAAGTTTTGCGGTGACATTCCACAAAGTTTTGACAACAGATTCTTTGTAGTTTTCTCCATTTTTTTTTCGCATGTTATATGCCCAGTCCTCCATAATTGATGCGATTTGTTTCATCTCGGTTGTTGCAGTCAACTCATAATTACGTTCAAGGCAGAACTCCAAAAACTGTTTCCATATCGTATTCTTGCTTTTTGTGGTGTTGATTGGTGTTGCTTGTTCGACAGCTAAATGTATTGAATCAGCCGAGCTTTGACCAAATCTCGTGCTCATGTCGGTTTCTGTTAATGACTAATAATAATTGTAAAGTTTTTCCGAACCTATACCAACTCGTTTAAACGTTAGAGAAAATCACAAAATACGAAGTCTGACTGATACTTAACAATGGCGTCGGTTCTGAATTCGAAATGTTTACATTGAGACAAATAGCTGCGTTACCTTGACAACCAAGTCAAGTCAATGCTAATTCTCTAAAGGTGCCCCATAGACTGCGTTGTTGGTAGGCCGTTTTGTTCGTCGAACAAGTCTGTTCGAACAAAAAAGACACAAAACTAAAGTGTGTGGCCAGCGAAAACGAACATTTTACAGCCACACACTTCGGTTGTGCGCAATTTTTGTTCGAACAGACTTGTTAGTCGAACAAAACAGCCTATCAACATCGCAGTCTATGGGTCCCTTTTTGTATCCATTTGAAGGAAGATCCAAACGTGAATAAGTCATCGCGGTAATTTGATACTAACAAATTATCAGTATGATTCCGAATGATTGGCTAGAATCACGCATTGATATTGGTTGAAACAAGGAAAACGTCACATTTTGACATGTAAAAAAATAATCAAGTTTATTTGAAGTACAGTGTCTTATTAGAGTATAATAGGTAGTTTTGTATCGGTAAAAAATGAATTATACTCCAAAAATGATAACCATAATAAGGTATAGTTTGACAGCTGAAGATAAGTAAATACTGTACACGGTGTCCCACTTGTGTCAGTATCACCCCCTATGTCCTCATTATTCTCAACATATTTTGTTAAATCAAAGACTCTTCTGGAATATTTTTCCACGAGTTCTTTGAATCTGTGCTCCATTTTTCTTTTTATCAACAAAATACAGGGTGGCCCAGAATTTTTTTTCAAATGAAATTATTTATATTTTTTCATAATTTGATGAAGTCCGTCAAGCTGAATTAAAAACTATATTTGATTTATATTCATCGAATCAAGAAAAATGATATATAGGTCATATCATTTGAAAAACTTTTTTTTTTTAGCTGCGCTGTATTTTGTTGGTATAGAGAAAATAAGGTGAGCTTTTATTTAGAAAAATCGTGAAAATTATTCCAGAAAAGTTTTTGAAAGACGATGAAATAACGTGAGAATTATTAGAATAAAGGGGAATGACACATTTAAGTGGGATTAAATGGTATTTAATGTGGTTGTGTCTCGTTTTTGTGTTGATGATAAATTCAATTCCTAATCTTATCTAACGGTCTTTGTTACCCGATTTTTTGTGTTCTCATTATCTGTGGGGATTAAAAATTTAAGAACCTAATAATAATAACCATGTGTTTGTTTGCTGTCTATCTCCACAGTAATTTCAGGCAACAGTACAGGGTGGCCAACTAAGACTCCAGAGTTCGATTTCTCTGTTGTTTTGAGAGATACCAAAAAAATTCATGTATCAAAATTGAAGTAATAACCGAGCTTCACATTACAAAATTTCTTTGAAATACACAAGGTAAGGTAAGGTCACAGCACATCAAAGCTATGTTTTTTTCATTGGAAGATCTGATTTCAACGAACCATCATACTTAGAGTCTAGCAGTGAAAGTTACTGACATATAGGGTGTGCAAAATCGAGATTTTCCAAGTTCAGGAATTTTTTCTGTCGAAACTGTTCATTATTCGTCAAAACGGTTTACATGTCCCTATCTCAACTTTTCACTCACTATCAATTGGTGTTCAATTGAAATTGATACAAGGTGGTCAAAAAATCAAAATTTATAATTTGTTTCAATTAAATGTCAAGGAACTGAACTCGAAATCAATGTACAGGGTGGATCAATAATAAAATTAGTTCTGAAATTTCCAAAGATTCGTAGTTTTCGAGATATAATGAATCAGTTTGAAAAACAGGTTATGAAAATATATATTTTAGAATTTCTTGAAATCTGGTACGTTTTTATGCAATAGCGAAATACTTATTCTTTTGTTGTTATTAGTAGAATTTCATCAAATATTCCTAACGACACCGTGCGCGAAATAGTGTGCGATATACAATAGTCTGCGAGATACATACAGGGTGGAGACTTCAACTGGAATAATTTCTCTACTGGGGGAGTGAATGATTTTTCTGAAAATTCGCGAAACACGTCAACGTTCGAATGTGTTTACCTACATTTGGCAAGCAATATGAAGAATTTAACCCTTCTGGGGTAGCTAGAATCAACCCCAACACGTTTATTTCAAATGCAACTCTATGGCTTGCGACCCCTCTTTGGAAAGCTCGTTGAAAGAGGAATCCGGCGTAATGATTATATTTCAGTTTGCAGTACGTTTGGGGGTCACATATAATCAAAATGTAATTTCGAAGTTCAATATATTTTCAACGTATTTTCATAAAAATTTCGACTTTTAGTGAAAGTGATATAGGGCATTTCCACCAGTTTGCAATAACATTTCGAACTGTGAATACGGCAATAAAACTGAATTTCTTTTAGCGGTTCCATAATAACACTGGAATACAATAGCAGATAGCATTTGTAGCAATAATTTGCCATCAATTGTTCAACACACATTTTGAGCGATTGAATGATTGATTGATAAAAAATATTGAATTTTTAACATTACGTTTGAAAAACAAAAATTTGAGTAGTACGTTGGATTCCTCTGTTCACCAGCTCTCTAATGAGGGGTCACAAGCTATAGGATCACATTTGAAAAAATCATGTTGAGGGTAGTTTCATCTACCCCTGGAGGGATATATGCTCGATATTGCTTGCAAGAGGTAGGTAAATACATTAGATTGTTAACATATGTCGAGCAATTTTAAAGAAAATATTCACCTCCCCGCTAACGAATTTTTCCAGTTAAAGTCTCCACACTGTATTTCGCACAATGCATGTAAACTATATGAGATTTTTGTATTTTAACTCTTAAGGTCCTCAATCAATCAAGAATCCAAGCAATCATTTGTTTGTAGAAGAAATGGTGTTTGCAACTCGTGCTCGAATCGCTGCGCCTCTTTAAAAAAATCAGTTCTCGTTCGCCAAAGTAACATTTCGTGCACTAGATACAAAATTAACTAGTCTAAAAACAATTAGGTTTTGTTATACAGCCAGTGTTGAATAAAGTTGGTGTTTGTTTCTAAACCTGTATCTCGAAAAAGTAGAATCTTCGGGAAACATTTCATGGGACAGCTTGTATTTTTTTTGCAATTCAATTTCAATGATTCAATGTGTATAGGGAAATCAACCCAAGATAGTTGAGAGCGCGTGCACGAATACAGGAAACTTTGAAAGTAAAAAGTAAATAGTATGACCACAATGTGAATTGGAGACCAACAAATTCCCTCTACATGATTTTTTCAGATGTTTCAATTCGATTAGACGAATACATACTTTGACTTTGAAAATACTGATATAGATATACTGATGATACTATGTCGTTTCTAGGGTGTAATCGGTGCAGTATTCGAAGGGATTGGCGTGTCTTCAGGAAGTGCCTTAGCCGGACTGAGTTACAGGAGTTTTGGCGGAGCCCTAACCTTCCGATACTTCGGTTTTGCTTCGTTAGCGCTGTGCGTAGTCCACGTTGCCTTTCAGTATTTCTTGAAGTTACAAGGTAAATCTCCCATGAAAAAGAAGACGGTCCTAGTTCCTTTTCCTTAAGTTAATAGAACATTCGTGTCTCTTGACTTTACTGCTTCGTTCTCAAGGAGAAATACGCTAACATTCCTCGGCACGTCACTGAACTTTTTAAGGAAGAAAAATGCTCTGGAATTATCCATAAATATGTATTTATACAGGCTGATTCACGGTGGAAGGCACATAACTTGGGAGTATTCTGAAAATTTGGTGCCTTGGATGATTTGTTGTGCTCTATCGACCTAAAATATTCTCCGCTTATATTGAAAAATAGCAACAACTTTGATTTTTTAAATGGGACACCCTGTATATTATTCCGTTTTCAGTTTCTTCCTGAAGAGCTGATTTCATTGTCCCATAACACTTGGGGTCTAGCAGTGACAATTACAGAGATATAGGGTGTGAACAATCGAGATTTTTCAACTTTAAGATTTTTTTGTGTCGAAACTATTCATAATTGGTCAAAACGGTTTGGATGTCCGTATCTCAATTTTTCATGTACTATCACTTATAATAATGACTATTTAACTTAAAAATCGGTTGCACAAAGGCCAATCAACTTTAGATGTCACATCAAATCGACTTATTCAACTTAATCAGTGCTCGACCACTGATTAAAGTGTGATACATCGATGAAATCAGCCCTTTAGGAAGAATATGAAAACGGAATGATATACAGCGTGTCTCATTTCAAACGGCCCCCCCTCTATATCTCAGCTATCAGTCGTGCGATCTTTACCAAATTTGTATCGGTATGAATAATCAATAATATGATCAAGTTCTTCAGAGACGAACATCATTTTAGACAGCGCCGTGCATTTTTATTAAAATGAATTGGGGTCAGTTTTTTATTAAATCATATCAGGCATTTTTCCACAGGAAAACTGACCTCATAATATTATTCTTCATGGTTTCGAACCCACATATGTGGATTTTCATAAGATGCCTATGAAAGGTTTCAGAAAAACAGGCACATCTAAACAGCATCTTTGCGAAGGTAATAATTATTTACTGGGAAACGGTGAGTTCAACATAAAAAACTATAACTCGTTTTTCCTTCCAAATCATGATTCTCCACCTACCGGAGCCATTAAACGTTCCAAAATTCGTAGTTGATTTGAAGTCACTATTTATGCGAGACTGAAAATGAAAAAAATGAAGCCAATCCTGTTAATTCGGAATTAGATGATTTTTTGCATATGGAGTTTCTGAAGCATGAGGAACAATAATATGGGGTTAGATTTCCTGTAAAAAAATGCCTAATATGATTTTATGAAGAATCGACCCCCCATAATGTGGATCTCTGTAAAACTGATCATATTGATGATTATTCAAACCACACCAAATTTGGTTGGAATCGCATGACTAATAACTGAGATATAGAGGGGGGGGCCGTTTGAAGTGAGACACGCTGTATACGGTGTCCCATTCAAAAAATCAAAGATGTTGCTACTTTTCAATATAAGCGGCAACGTCGCAGTGTTAAGAATATTTTAGGTGGATAGAACACGACTAATTATCCAAGAAACCAAATTTTCACTTATAATATCACGAGTCGAAGACGAGGAAGAATTTTCTAAATATTCGTGTTCGAGAAACTAAAGTGGTATTCGGTAAGAAAATGTACATGTTGATGGTTGTTTGTGACGAAATGTAAGAACTAATGTATAGTAACAACATATGTTTTAGTAAATTTCGAATTTGCAAGTATACCTGCATAATATTACATGGTAAACTGTTGATGAACGATTTTTATTCATTGACTTATAGAAAGAACTCGAAATAATCTGAAGTTGAATGTAAATGTCATTTGACCTATAAACGTCAAAAAATTTCCAGTGTAATTTCATGCTCCGTCCCCCAAGGAGGAGGAGAAAATTTCCAAGAAATTTGTTTAGTTGTTATGGTAACGATACGAAATACAGGCTTTAAATTGATGGAAAATGTTTGGTGTGAAATTTTCAGTATAATCCTGCGTTGCGTTCTCCAGAACGTCTAATGTGCTATCCACAGTAAACCAGCGTGTATATGAAAACAATGGATAGTCAGTCTGTTGAACATTCATTGTAATTTTGTTGCCAGATATTAATTTAAAAACTCTGTTGGAACTATATTGTCTTTTTCCTCTAAAACGAAGCGAAACAATCAGAAATGTCAAGGGACCAAAATTTCGTATTTTTAGTGGTTTCATTTGAATAAATGATAAAAACCGCACAAATCTATAGGTGAATATTTTTTGTGTTGAAAAACAGCCTACTAGGTCAGAATCAAATCTAATTGGTCAACATTATATCGGAATCGGCTATAACGTTCATGAGCTTTCAATCAAAATGTCACATTTGTAAAAAACTTGAACCCTGTATCTTGGAAGCACAGAAAAAAAAGTGGTTGTGCGCATTCTCCCCTAGACTTCTGTCTGTTGCTACAACTCTGGAATACTGTCTTTATGTATATGCTATATTATTGATGTTTGGGAATAAAATATTCGAGAGTGAATTTCTAAATTCATCAAACTTTCCGTTATTTTGCTGTAGTATAAAACTTGTTAATCAAAAAATAATTCCAACTTTACTCACTTATTTTCTAGATGTTTGACAAATATTATTGCTATTGAACGCAGAAAGCGATTTTATGACACTAGAAACCGCTTTGATTTATATTTTAATCTTATATTTTGTAAAAGTTTTGAATAAACTTACACTGTTATAATCATTATTATCATCATACCCAATGCACTATTTACACTGAATAATAAATTATTATTTCATAAGCTTATGGTCATCGAACTTTAGCCCTTGTGTTCTGTGTTGTTACTTGACTCCATACGTCACCTGAGCAGCCATGTTGAATTTGAGCGCAACAGTTTTGGTTCTCCTGTCTATTGCCTGGCAACAGGGTTTTGAAGATCTGTTGAATTATTTCCTTACAATATTGATTATTGATATTGATAATTTCAGAAACTTGTATTGATAAATACTGGTAGGTAGAAAATCAATTGCTCTAGATCAAATAAAAATCATCACCAACATATTTCCATGAGAATAATATGGAAAACGAACAGAACAGTTGCCATCAGGGTTTTTGTTGCTGATCAAATTGAAATGAATCGTTCCTATTGTTGTTTCAGAAATAATAATTTTTCATGAGTATAAATTCAGTATGTTTTTTCTTTCATTTCAGAGCACGTGAATCTCGAAAAGCTGCCATTGTTTAAGAACAGTCAAAATGCTTATTATCTGTAATAACTGACCTTATCTTTCGTGTCAATAACTATTGTTCATCGAGAGCTTTTATTGGTTTGATTTCAAAGGGCAAAAGTCAATGACTCAATTGGATATTCAATTCAGATAAATTATTCAGCTAGACAACTTTCATGTTTATTCAATTTAAATATTCGAATACAAAGTGTGTGACGCTGTACATATATGACATTCTTGGAGTAGCAAAATCTCAAAGAAGAAATAAATGTAGTAGTTGTGGTAGTTTATTGAACACAAATATGTCTATTATATTAAACATAATGAGATATCATCGTTGCAAATCATTTTCATCTTTTGCCCTTAATCCGAAGTTCAAAAAAAAAATATGGGCCATGGGGTTTATTAACTTTTGATTAGTTCAGGATGAATTATAGAAAATTTTGCGATTTTGAACTCAATTATTCTGCTTATCAAACTAGTGGAAAGTTACAATGACCTACCTTTTCCGTCGACCTCGTATTAACGACTAAGTTTAATGTTTATGAAATCGTTCATTAATGATGACCCCTATTAATTAACGATTTGTATATTAACATATTAATGCACGATTGTTTTATAGGCAACCAAACATACACCGCCTGCATTCATTGTTTATGCTATAACTTACGGAATCTGCATTTAAATCGAAAATATGGATTTCATTGAAGATTTTTTTCCGTTAACGGGTTCGCATTTCCCAAGTTTCTGAAACGATTTTGATCCCTGTTTTCTAACACAAGGAATTTATTTTCAATGTTGATCATTTCGACAAATGTCACTAATGTCAGTAACAAGGCTACTGGGTGATTCTTAGTAGTTTCCGGATGAATGATGAATTCGCGAACCAATTTTTTTCATTGCAGGAGAAATAAAAAATATAGTCGACGGAAAAATTTTGTAACCAGCTCGTACATAGAGGCGATTAATGATCTCGAACTTTAACGCGCTCGCTTCGCTCGCACATTAAAACATCTCGATCATTTATCACCCGCATTAATACACTAGTTGGTTAAATAACTATTTTTGAAGGGGTAAGAATGTCAAAATTTACAACAGAGTTTAATTCCAAACTAAGTTCACTGATTTAATCCGGAATAAAAAGATGAAATTGGTGGATTGGAAATTTTCCAATTATTGATTGTTGAGCTTTCCTGATAAAACTCTTTGGTAAACTTGACAACAATGGTCAAAAGCAGGTAAGGAATGAATTTGTAGTTTTCTCAAATTTGAATTGGGGTTTCCCAACGAATAATTTTCAATTGTTTCTTGAAGTTTGGATGACATTTTTTCAATTTAAATTGGCAACACCTGGCGGTGCCACTAGATTTGGCATCAGCTCACTCACGCTATTGATTAATTCTCTAAATTTTCCATGATTTACAGGAATATCTTGGAATTTTCATTTGGGCGGTTCTCTACTAATTGAATTTTTTCAAAACAGTATTATTTCAACACCCTCTTTCTTCAAAGCGAATCAAATTTGGACAGAACTTTTAGTCAAAAAGTAGGTCAACCTTCCATAATGTACATACAGGATGAGTCAATAGTGTGTTCTTCTTCGATATTGGCTGAACCGTCAGATATATAAAAAAAAATGCAAATAGAACAGTTATAGGGTTTCATGAGAACTATAACCCTAATTTATTTTCATACCTATAGGGTGCTCAAATTCCAAGATATCGGCTGATGATGAATTTCTCAAAAAGGACATCCTATATATTATTGCATTTTTAGGTTC